CAACGATACGGATTTGAGCCATCGGCCTCGGTGGTGTAGTGGATAGCGTGGCGGGCTGATAATCCGGACGAGCCGGGTTCGAATCTCGCCGGTAGCACTAACTTTTTGTCAACAATTTTTTTCATATCAGCAAGTTTGGTTGGTTTGGTTAGGTTATCACAGTTTAATTTTATAATTAAAAAAAATATAAAATTGAATTTTAGGCATTTATAATTTTATTTTATGAACAAAACTATTTTTTAGATTAGTAAACCTTCATTCGATTTTTCCTTTATCAGCACGTTTGGTTAGTTTGGTTAGGTTATGACAGTTTATTAATAAAAAAATTATAAAATTGTCTGTTTCTTCAGACGCAGCAGTTAGTGACGTCAGCAGCTAGTGACGTCAAACGGCACCTGATAAATCTTCCGTGTGCCCCACCGGTAGGTCCCTTAGTTGCCATTAGGTGTATGGGCTATTAATTAACAGCTGTGTCTAAGGAATATGTCGGCCTTAGTCACTAACAAGACTAAAAGATCGCGCCACTCATCATACACTCATCTCCATTCATACTTGGCTTAAAATACCTACTTTGTATGGTCGCCATTTCAAAGAAAAGTATTAATTCATAACCTTTGAACCTTGTAAGTGATTTACTTTAAACTAAGTACATAAAGTAGTGGAAAATCTTACTAATATTATAAATGTGAAAGTTTGTGTGTTTGAAGTTCAATCACGCATAAACCACTGGACGGATTGGACTGAAATTTGGCATGATGATAGCTTACATTCCCGATTAACATACAGGCATATTCTTATCTCAAAAATCCTTTCGGGCTCCGCCCCAGTGGCTCTGTAATTCCCCATTTTAACCTTATGAGTATTCATATTTAAAGGGAATTAAAGAATTTAGTCAGCTGTTTCAACTAAAAAAGTTGGTTCTATGATATGGAAAAACATTAAAAATTTATAAGATTTACCAACAGGGTGCAGCACTATATTTTTTTGAATTTATGAAAACAGCTAATTTGAACTAAGCAGCAACAAAAAACTGTGATTCGCAATGAGAACTGTCAAAGTAGGATTGTTTACAGTTATGTTTATATTTTTTCATTTCATGAATAATTTGTGATATTTTGCGAATTGTTGATAATTTATTTTTCTCTATTGTTTAGGTGAAGTGGTAGAACATTATGGCAAATTAATTTTTAAATTAAATTTTAATTAATTTTTTTAAATTTTTGTTTTTATGTAGATGTGTAATACTATAGAATACTGTAAATTTAAAAAAAGCTAATTTTATCAAACTGTGTCCTCCCTTATTGCAAACGCAAAGCTTGAGTATAACTGCAATAATCATTTTACACTTATATTCCAACCCCGTACGAAGGACGGGTACTCTGCTAGTAGTCCTATAATTGCACAATGCATCAGATTTAGAAATGTTATCAATTGAAAATGGCGGGTGTTTAACGTTTTCTATATTAAATATCTTTAAAATTAGTAATTAATTATACAAAAAATTGTTAGTCATTATTTACTTTTAGGACTTGACTAACTAACCTAACAATACCTTAATAGCACCTTAATAGTATCATAGGTTGTAAAAGTTGGTTTGGATAACTAGAGGGTAATTTGTGAAGAAATAGAAATAATTTTTTTTTACACTAAAAACACTAAAATACAAGATCAGCTTTTTGAAAAAAGATAAGATATTTACAAAAGATTTTGATTATATCTAACTGTTGTGTAGATCGTGAGTATTTCCATAATCTTTGAGTCGCCTGTAATACTTCACAATTGCTCGAATTCGAGCAGGTACACTAGTTTTTAATAAATTATAAAATAAATTTTTAATTTAATTAAACTGTCATATCATAACCGAACCAACCAGACTTTCTGATAATATAAAAACTATACAAAATAAAAATCTAATTAATGATAACTTATAATTTTTAATTATAAAATTAGTTTTAAAATTTAGTATTATAAAATTAAACTGTCATAACCTAACCTAACCAACCAAACTTGCTGATACTATAAAATACCCCCGTCGCAGCAAACCTGCATACTTAGCGAATTTCCATTTACCCGGCTTGATTTATACTAAAATATTCCCTATAAATTTTCAGATTTATTTCCTATTTAAATAACATTAATTTTAGTGAGTAGTTAGGTTTGCTGCTACGGGGAAGATGTTGAGGTGTGTTTTTTTCAAATTGAAATATTGATAGCTTAGTATGAAATAAACCAAATTGCCAAATTCGATTAAAATATATCCATAAACAAGCAAACTAGAACAGTTTATTTATTCTCCATAAGAATAACATGGGAATTTTAAAATTACAATTTTTTTAATTTTCTCCGTAGTCAATTAACATTCAAAAACACTTCAATATACTAAATTATTTGTTTTTTTAAGCTCTTCAAAATGGTCTAGAGAGAAATTTAGAAATTTAAAGTTTTTAGGGTCAAAAATGAGAAAAACCCATTTTTACCCCATAAAACCCCCCATAAACCCCTGATCCCATGGTCCGATTATGCTGGTTCGCGAACTCGTTCAAATAAATGTAGGTTTACACGTTTATACCAAATTTAATCAAAATCAATTTTGCTCGAGTTATCGCGCTAACGGACACATATATAAATATATATATATATAAATATATATATATATAAATATATATATATATATAAATATATATATATATAAATATATATATATAAATATATATATATATAAATATATATATATAAATATATATATATATATAAATATATATATATATAAATATATATATATATAAATATATATATATATATATATGAATTTGAACGGATGGTGTTTTTGGCCTCTGGGGACCTCAAAACGAAAAAGTAAATCGGTCCCGGGTCTAGGTCTTACCATGAGACCTACGGTAATAGCTTATTCCCTATATGGGAAATTCGCTAAAAGATATAAGATAATAATCGAATAAAGGTTCAATATTTCAAAAAAGTTCTGTTCATAAATAAAATTATAAATGCATCAAATTCTAACAAAAGATGTACAGTTAAGAAGTATTCGCATTCTAAGCAAAAATCGTTGATAAAAAGTTAATGTCCCCGGCAGGTTTCGAACCCGGGACTTCCTGGACACCAATCCGAAACCTATGCCACGAACGCCGCTGAAATCACATCGTCTCGTTATGGTAATCGTGATGCCTCAAGATAAGACATTAGCCACTAGAGATATGACGTCACTACACCTTTAGCCTTAGTCCCTCCCGTGTGCCAATCCGCCAAACACTAGGGAGTAAGTTTTATGGTTTTATCGTCTATGTTTTAACCTAAGAAACAAACACACAACATCTTTCCAGGGAGTTTTTTTTAATACACACCTGTATACTCACTTCTAAAAGGTTATCGCGTATGGGGGCTTTTCTATCCAAAATTAAACATGAGAGAATCAATTCTATTGGGATTTAAACTCATACAGTAACATTTATTTCTTGATCTTTCTCTGGTGGATGGGCGTTCAACATGCTTTGCTGATAAAAGTCAGAGTAAAACAATGGTTGAAAATATTTTACTTCGAAATACATTTATTTTGCTAGGCGATCGATTTTTGAGGCTGTAAAATAACATTTTTAATAAGAATAAAATGTAAAAAAAGGGATTAACTGACTTCCTTATCAAAGCAAAGGACGGATCCAAAACTAAGGGCACAATAAATTTGAGCAGAGATTTACAAACGGCATCATACACTAAAATAACATGCATGTTTAAATAAAACCGTTTATTTATTATTTACTTACAGGAAAATACAACGACCATAGCAGGAAAAATGGGGACTGATAGCTTGAATGCTGTGAACAGTTCAAACTAGACAGTTCACACAATTTAAAGAATGAATTACCATTATTATTGAGTCGTGCTATATTTACATAAAAATCTGTTAAAGCTTATATAAATTTTAATTTTCACGGAAAACTTATTATTATTAACAACTCAAATCTATTTATTCATAATATTAAATTGGCTTGGCCTCGATTCATAACATTCATATTCATATATATTCATATTTATATTCATAATATTATTTATACTCGACACAAAACACAACCATGAGTACGTGTTACATAATAAGTTAGTTACGAATAAATTGACTTGTGAGACGCAACTGTAGCAAGGTCCAAAAACGGGACAGTCCCGTTGCAAGTCGGACATGGACCACGAGATCACCCCTGCAGTTTTGAATTGAATTGACAGAAAAGAGAAAAACTGAAAGGGAAGATCAGCGAGGGTCGAAGAGGGTGTGAGAGGGGGAGATGTATGTAAGTCCAAGGGAGGAGAAACGAGTATGTGGAAGAGAGAGACGGACGAAGGTGTCTATTTAAATTTATTTAGGAATTCACACCTTGGATGGGTTTTATAATAGCTATTCTATGCTGAAATATAAATGTTCTTATACACTTATGACTTTGACTTTTCACTATTCTGCGGTTGATGTCAATTATTTACAAGAGTGTACACACAAATTTAGCTAAATGCAAATGTCCAAGAAACATTTTGCTGTACGAGTTTGTATGAGTGTAAATTAATTATTATTAATTTTGGTAATCATTAACTCGTAATTGTCAGTAAAGTTAATGGAAATACAGTAATTATCTAGACTAAACCAAACACTAAAGTAATAAATGCTTTTAGAACAACATTTTAGGATCAGTAACAGTAAACAATGATCTTAACATAAAAAAAGTTTGCCGCCAAAACACAATCGTACTCTTTAGCCTTTGTTTTTGAAGTGTTAAAACAAAAATAAAAATACTGTACTCTTGGTGCGCAGCGTTCTGCAAGGTGAGGTGATGATGTACCTAGCCTAGCGCTGCAGTGGCGTTAAACAGAAATTCATGTGGTGGAGAAGGTGAGTGATGTTTTGCGAAACTGTGAGACTTGTGATTATATGTGGGCAATTTTTTATTGATGTGTAAGGGATTCTCCCTCTTCCTTAATACCTTCTTTTTATAGCCTAGTAACCGGAATATCTGCATTATAGATTGGAGCGGCAGTAAAATCGGGAGGTTTGCATGCATTAAATGATTAATGATCATCAAGGAACCGGTCCCGTACACCCTCCCTACCGATTTAAGTAGGACTCTTGTGCTCGAGTAGAAATGTATATTTACCTTATGAATCATTTTATTATTCTGTAACTCTCACTGTTCTGAATTTTCCAGTGCCCTGTGACCATACGAGCCGGATTTATTGAAGTGGAATGTTCAACTAAGATGAGAGATTCAATCTTGCAAAGGTGAGTAGGGTAGCAAATTTGATAAGCCTAGTTTGCTGTTTGTTTGACAGTTTGTGTCTCAACTGAAGGATTCTGTAGAACTTTAAAATATGTGTTTATAGCCGTCCTTCAAATCTTGGCCCACTGTTTATAATGTGTAAAATATGAAAGTTACCTAACTTAATTGACTTTTAAATAGGCCTAGGCCTAGAAGTTAGCTTTCCTCCACCATGCTCTCTTCAATGAATTAACCTAAACTTAGTAGGCTAGGCCTACTTAAGTTAAATCTGGCTTTATTTCGACTACTGCTACCTCTTTTGTTTAATGTTTGAAAACACATGCTGGGTTTTATAGGCCTAATTTAAGTTAGGCTATGATGCAAACTGTGTTTGCAATTTTTTTCATGCAATGTTAAGTTCCCCTATTTGTGATTGTTAGCTGCACTTAACTTAAGTGTCTGTCCTACACTCATTCAAATGAAAAATACCAATAGGTATACAGATTATTTGATAACTTATAAGTTACTGATTATTTCATTCGGTTAGTTAGCCTAATGTAGGCTACTTAGGTTAGCCTATGTTAACCTAACTGAAAACTTGATATTATATCAAATGAAATAATCAATATATCGATCGATCGATATATTAATTTGAATGAGTGTAGGACAGATACTACTTTAAGTAAGTGCAACCAATTTTTTTCAACCCAGCATTATTTTATCAAAAGAAATCAAAACAATTTTGGCCTACCTAGCCTAACTTGATTAACTGCAAGAGTAGGCCTAACTTAACTTAACCTGTAATTTTTAAAACCTGGCATGATTAAAGAAGAGGTGGGGTTATAAGTAACTTACGTACATACAGGCCTAGTCCTAATATGCCTTAAGCATACTTGGCGATAGCATTAGCCTACTCGTAGCCTAAACTCTAACTTGATCTAGGTAACTTAACTTAAGCCTTACCACAGAGAAGTAAGATACAGACGATAGAAGCTTATGGGACAACCGTACACTCTTAGCTCTAGTATGGTGGGGTGGAGATGTAAATATTAGGCTACTTGTAACAAGTGAGGAAGAGCCCAAACAGCAATTCTAGCGTACAGGGTCTTCCTATAGCATGAGCGCTATAAGTTAGTATGTGATGGCGAGGGGAGAAATGAGAGCAGAAGGGGACAACAAATAAGTTGGAATTTGCTCTAGACACAAGCGACAGGGGCTAGACACCACTTGACTCAAGTGTACCGTTGAATATATCCTCTGTTTCTTACCTCTCCCTGTGACTACACTAAGTTCAGTAAAATTAAGTTTTGTTTCTAAAATGAACTAAGATGTGTAGGCCTAACTGTTTCATATGCCAGGGGCTTGTTTCATAATAAAATACAAACTAATATTATTAGTAAATCAGATCTCCCAATGCAAATTAATGGAAATTACAAGTTAAAGCTTGTAACTTGTAGTTTATTATGAAACCTGCCCCAAGTCTAAAGGTATGTGGCCTTACCTAGCAGTGGTTAGGGGGCAGGGACACCTTGAAACACAGGCTTTGTGTAACTTGATATTTTTGTGGGTTAGTGGAACAATGAGTAGTAGGCTAAGTTAGGAGTTGAAGTCAATTCAATATAGCCTAATTGTGATTCCAAAGCCTATTATCTTTAATGTAACTTAGCATCACAAGATTTTACAGGTTCTTACTTAACTTTGTCATTTTAACTTCAGTTAAATGAACAGTTTTTTATTTTATTTCATGATTTCAAGGAGCGGTAAATCAACCTTTACATAACATGCGAATGAATTATTTGACAAGGTTTGAGCCACCCTGGTATACAAGTTAGCCTACATAATACTGTTAATGTTACTGTATTACATTAAGTAAGTGTCATTTCTGAGTTTAACATAGGTAGGCGATGTATTCATAAGCTTCCTAGCAGATTCATAGACATTTGTTGCAATGAAAACATGCTATTTAGGTTACTAAGTTAGTTTAAAGGCTAGGCCTATGTTAACTTGAAGTCAGATTGGACAGAGTTACTCAGAGAACTTGGGCAACAATGTTAAAATGAATAGGGTTAACATAGCCTTAATGTGCCATAAAAAAAAAATAGCCTACATAAGATAAAAGAAAGCTGTAGCGATAAAAGGTAATCATGCAAGATAGGCCTGAATTCCCTTTTGAGTGCTAGGCCAATAATTCATATTTTGTAAGACTTTTTTTCTTTAATTCTATTAAACCCTGTTGTTGAAATGTAGCTTTTATTGTTCTCAATCAGGCTAATTTGGAAAACAGAACCAAGGCCCCACTAGAATAACAGGCCATCCTGCAGGATCCATGACGTCACACTAGTGGATAGATTGATTGACAAATTCATTGCCATATCCCATATGTTTTAGGCAAATAAGCTGGCTGTTAGTCAGATTTAAGTAAGATTTTAGTACAACTATCCACCACTGTAGTGTTGCGCTGCAGCATGGCATGTTTTTCTACCCGGCCTTGGTAGAACCTTGATAGTAAGACCCTCATAGGGATTATAAAATAAGAATTTTTATCAAGTTTGACTTCTTATTGAGGTTTGCAATAACATGTGATTAGGGTAGGGGTAAAACGATTTCAAGGGTATTTGAAAATGACCCTTGTTATCAAGAGTGACTTGTTATCAAGGTTCTACTGTAATAGGAAGTTAATAATATAAACAAGTCTTGGTATTTTGCAGTAAACATTAAACTATGTTTTCTTTGTAAATTTCCAAGTTTTCTTATAAATTGTAGGTAGCCTAATGTTCTGGTTGTTTGAAACCAAAATCTCATAAAATCAAAAGACATCTGGCTTACAACGTAATATTGAATTAGCCTAAACCTTGATTTAGTTTGATAACTAGGTGGCGTTCGCAGAGGCATCCACAAAATTGAGCTGAGTGATCAAGGGTTTATATTGTTTTTGTCATACTGCAGTAATAACAGTCGTTTAACGAGTACCTAGGTTTGCTGCTACAAGGAAACTAATAAAGTATGTTTTTGAGTAAAATATTGATAGCTTAGTAGCCTACAAAATAAATAAATTTGCCAAGTTTGATCAAAATATATCCATAAACAAGCAAACTACAACATTTGACTATATTCTCCATAAGAATAACATGGGAATTTTAAATTTACAATTTTTTAAATTTTCTACGTTACTAATAATCGAACAAAAATACTTTTATATACTAAATTATTTGTTTTTTTAAGCTCTTTAAGGGGAGACTGTACCTTTTCTGGTTCAATGCTTTTTAAATGGATATTCTCTACAAGTTTAAGTACATATAGCACGAAATCTACTAAACCTATCATACTGAATTTTTTGCACACTTAATTATCACATCTATATCTTTATGTTAAACCTCTTTTTAAAGAAATATATCAATATCAAAATTATTTTCAATCATAAAAAAAACAAATTTTTATGCAATATTCTAAAAATAAAAATAAATTATTTTTTAAATGAAATTTTATAACTAATCAATATATGATTGGTTTAATGTACTCACCAAGTACCCAGACTAATGCATGCAAAATTTTAAGTTTCTATGAATTACAGATTTTGAACTATGTGTACCTAAAGATAGAAAAACAAACTTTCGGAAAAACACACTTAAAGCTTTGCAGCACACACTCAAAGCCATAAGAATAGTGTGGCCGAAACCTCGGTATAGTTGCTTTGTTTATTTATTGTTATCATAAGAAGCTTTCTAATATTCTAAGTATTACATATTTTGTTAATCAGGAAGAAACGAAGATCCATTTTAGGCGAAAATCAAAAATTTAATTTTTTAAGACATAAAAGGTTCAGTCTCCCCTTAAGAAGGTTTAGAGAAAAATTTGAAAATTTTGTGTTTTGAGGGTCAAAAGTGAGAAAAACCAATTTTTACCCCATAAAACCCTGTTCCTATGGTCCGATCATGCTGGATCGCGAACTCATTCAAGTTTATCCCGCCTTACACCTACAAACCAAATTTCATCAAAAACGGATAAAAATTACTCAAGTTATCGTGTTCACGGACACATATATATATATATAAATCTATATATATAGATATATACCTATATATATATACATATATAAAAATTTGAACGAATGGTGTTTTTGGCCTCTGGGGACATTAAAATGAAAAAGTAAATCGGTCCCGGGCCTAAGTCTTACCATGAGACCTACGGTAATAGCTACTTCCCTATAGGGAAATTCGCTAATATAGTAAACAACAATATCCCTTTGTAAAAAATAATGTATTGTTGCATAGCACTCAAAGGGTTAAGTATAAGATCAAACACAATATAACACATGCAAGCTAGCAGGCGATGAGAAGCTATTCCGGTAAGTTGTTAGTTACACTTCTGGATCTGTACCTCACCTGGTATCAGTATTTCAAATCTCGTCTTTTATCTTAATCAGAAATCTGACTATTTTTTGTTCAGTGCTTAACCCAAAACACTGTTTGGTGGGTTTTATCGTAGACAAATAGAATAATTGTAGACTGTCAAAGGAATATTCCATGATGTGCCGCTAGAGCTTGCTCGGTGTTCAATTCGCTGCCGTCATCGGCTCCTCGCTACGCTGCAGTGGCATGCCCCTTAACTACATGGCACTCCAGAATATGCTACATGGTAGACACCAGAATATGCTAACCGTAGCACTGCTGTCGGTCTATATTTATTTTATTTGTCTACGGTTATATGCTTGAATCCTGTGTAGATGGTTAAATTCCAGGTTTCAACCAACATTTTTTTCCTGTGTTGAAGGCATTAAGTTGGCAAGTTGATTGAAATCTTGACAGTGATTGTTAGGTCACACATCATAGGTTTAGGTTAGTTTAATAACATTTAGGCAACAAGATCACCTCTAGGCTAGGTGAGTTAAAGTAACATTTATACTCCTAGGCTACTGTTGGGATTTAACTTAAACATCAAGGAGGTTTTGAACATTATTGGAGAAGTGAACTTTCTAGGTTGTTGGAAGAAGCTATTAGTGACAATTTTTTTTTTTTAGAGGTTGGCGGCCTCTTTTAACCTTGCATTTGCCCGTCCACATAGACTAACCGCCCCTGCGTGGAACGTATACAGCAAAGCAAGGAGTGAGCCGGTACAGTACAAAGGTGAACTGTACTGATAAAATGTTTTTGTAGTGACCAGGATCCGAACCCACAACATCGCTGCCTTAGGCCCAAAGTCCGCGACGCTACCGACTGAGCCACCAACTCACCAAATTAGCCTATTTCAGTCTTTTTAATTTGCAGAACTTAAACAGATTCCTATTGTATTATATCTTTAGAATAAAAAAGAATTTCTTCTCCCGAAAAATGTAGTTGGATAAACTGAAATCGCAAAAAATTAATATCCCACCTTTAGAATTTTTAATATGGCCAATTAACTTCCCGTCCATTTCTGCTCTCCTTCATCCTCCCATATGCCCATATATTTCCCATATGCCCAACACCCCTTTTTACACCCGAAGACCCAGATTTTTTTGCCCCTTTAAACTTAGATTATTCATTTTTATACATTTTTTACAAATTTGGTCCAGTTATTCATATTATTATTATATTCTTGCTGTTACCACATTTGTACTGTTGTATTTAGCGATCTTGTTAACATTGTATCCATTATTGTAAACCGTTGGGAAATAAATACATAGAGTAGGTAAATATTCAAATTTCAAATTGTCAAATTTAAATCTATTGTTAAAAAAATAAAGGTGTCTATCAAAATGTTTGGTGTTAAATAGTGTATTTTCATTTAAAAAAGTGTTCAATCATGAATTTAATTTGTGGTCAAGTGAGTATTTTAAGTCAGTAGGCCTAATTTATGCATTTGAAAGATTTAATTTGCCTGGAAAACACTGAAAAGCTTCTCTAACCTGATAGGCTCTTGAGCTAGAAAATGTAGATTTATGTTGTTTTGAAACTCAGCTTGAATGAGGTTTTTTAAGTAATTCTTTTGCGTTGAATGTTGCTTCTGGCTTTTGGTGGTAAAATAACATTTTTATATTCTGTCTTATGGAAAAAATACTTTTTTATTGATATCAAGTAAGTTAGGCCTAGGCCTATAATGTTAGAATGAACGTAAACTAAAGATTTTAAGTTTCAGTTGTATTAGGATAGGTTTCATATTCTAGAAAGCCCTAGGCCTACTTGTTAGTAACACAACATTTAAAATGGATTTTGTATCATCACTGGCTCATATTTTACAACAATTATTAAAAATTGTGTTTTATATTTTCAGATTTCTTAGGAGTTTTGAACTTTAAATAGCTTCATAATGACTTCTGGCCAAGCCTCGATGGAGGGAGCAAACATGCCTGTATCAGGTTAGTGCTGTTCTCTGTAAATTCTTTTGTTAGGCTACTTTGCTACTTTATCTGTTAACTGGGTAATGCTTCTTACATCAAACAAACATGCCTTATAATGTGTCGATATTTTAACTAACTTATACATAGAGGCCTAGTTCATTAAACCAGTTTTAAAAGTTGATTCATGTATTTCCCCGTTAGAAGCTGAGCTCCCTTCCTCCACAACACAAACCATGACACAAAAATCAGAGGAGAACGAGAACTCTGAACTCGCCAACTTGATGAAGGAGAAAACCCCGATGTGTCTGGTAAATGAGTTGGCTCGCTACAACAAGGTGAGTTTGTGATACAAAATTGTTTACTTACTATTGTAAAGTATTAGATTAATATCTTAATCATTGGGAAAGAGAAATAAGTTATACAAACTGAGGTAATATGGCCCAAAAATTTATCAACAGTTTAAGGTTAGCAGTTCTGTGTTCCCGTTTAAATGTAGCAAATTTTGCAATAATGGCTACCCTTAGGTGCCAATAGTAAAGCTAGGCTTACACACTGACTACACAGATTAGACTTCCCATCCAATGTCAAAATTTGAAGCTAAAAAGGTGCAATCTGTTGAGGTAGTTTACCAACTAATGACGATATTCTGTATCATGTGATACGGTAATTCAATCAGCTGTTTGCATAGATTTTAATTAATATTTAACCCAATTCACTAGTACCCTCTGGTGAGATGGACTGAACTTGGCTTCCTATTTCTATCCTATCTCTATTTTCTTGGCTTCCAATTCTTACATAGGATGGGAAGTCTATTCAATGAATAGTCAATGGTTTACATGCGCATATAGAAGTGGCGTCACTTTTTACTGGCTAAGTGGTGCAAAAACATGTAAACGTTATACATCTTAATGATCCACTTTTTGTGGAGATGTGAAATACCCCGTTATTTGAGCCATTGGCCATTGCTACTTATATTTTGTTCCAACATGTATTAGTGGTGTCACTGAACACGGCACACCACCTGCACGGACTGCCACCAGTCACACTGGTGTGCCAGTCCAACCGCTTGATTTTTATAGCTCAAGAAATTTGAACAGTGTATTGTCTCCAAATGATGATATATTATGTAAAATAAGACAGTGCAGGGACCAAGTTATGAAAAAACCATACATTAGTTTTCTAGGCTTTTACCAGAACAATATTTTGTTTGACCCAACAACTATCTCCTTAGCTACTACAGAAATACTTGTTATATAGGCCACAGTCCGAGCATTTTTCATAGGCTTATCAGACACTTTTAATACCACTTTGAAACTGAATTTATTACAGTGACAAGCTAGGTTTCCATTCAAATGTGTGCAAGTGTAAACCTCAAGTTGAAGGACACTACTAACTATCCTTACGTTATATCCTTACATTATATTTACGTGCCATCAATAATGCTAATGTAAATTATTATAATTACTATTACAGTTAAGTTAAGGATTAAGAGTGTAGAATGAAGTGAGACTCCTTCTATAACCTTTGTTAATGACTAAGACCAGCTGATTTATTTGCCAGGACCATTTATTAGAGGAGTTAAATCTCGCCAAAGTCCCAAACATACCAGGTTATTGAGTGTGTCTGTTACTCACATTTCTGTGAAAATAAAAATTGCCTTTGGGGTAAATCACTAAGCCTACTTACATTGTTTTAAAAATTAACTAGAGACTTATTTTACACAACTTAACAGAACAGAACTTTAATTATTAACTCTTTGAGGCCACAGTTATTTAATGGCTACTTTTTGTTGGTATTTCAGATAATTATACCGTTTAGACTGTTGTAAATGTACCTGTATTATTTCACAGTACGGTATTGATATTTTTCATGTCAGAAACAAAGTGTTTAGAAGGTTTGAACCCAAAATTAGAACTTGTACTATGTAATGGGATCATAAGGTAAGATCATGTTACAAAAGTGGATGATTTCACCCCTTTAGTTAAATAGTGTTAAACCTTTTGTTTGTCTGGGACAGATCCAGCACCAGTACAGACTGACCAGTGAGCAAGGTCCAGCGCACAAGAAGCTCTTCACAGTCACCCTCAAGCTGGGGGAGGAGGAGTACTCGGCAGAGGGGGCGAGTATCAAGAAGGCACAACACCTGGCAGCAAGCGACGCCCTCAAGGCCACCGGCTACAAGCACCCTCCACCCAAGGCGTCTCGCAACAACAGGCTCGGTAAAAGTCAGTATCAAACAGTCGAGGTTACGAGAGAAATCATGTGACATTACGTCATTAATTGGATTAGCTACTAGCGTTGTCTTTGGACACCGTATAAACCAGCTTTACCCGATTTCTTATTAAAGAAGAAAATTGTTTGTTGAGTAAACCACTCACATAGTGCGCTACTTTGTAAAAAAAATCTTATATAGCCTACTAAAAAACTTTAACAAAACTTATGACAGCTAGCCTGACCATACTACTGGACCAAATTACACGCTGTTGGTACCAAATGAAAGATATTTTCCTGTAGATGCCCTTTATAAATTAAAATAGGCTAAAAATAAGCACAAAAAAATTAATTTAAAATTTTTAAAAATTTACATGGACCTTATGATGTTGGTGACGAAATAACAACAAAATATAAACAGAAAATCAAAACAAATGGAAGAAATTCTAATCACATGTTTTATTTATAGTGTGGGGTGATAGAGAAGTTTGCACAATACATACTTTTGGTTGAGTTTTCGACTATGGAGTGAGCTCTCATAAATGCTCTAAATTATTTTTGTTACATTGATAGTTTATGGGAAATAATTAGATGAAATTCAACATGAATTTGTAGGGGTGGATGAACCTAAATGAGTTTACTAATCAGTTATCAGCAAGTTTGGATCATAGTTACATTAGGCCATAGGCTAATTATTGACAAGTTTTGACATTTAAAATTTTTTCACCCTTAAAACATAAATGCTCAATTCTTACTACAGCCTCATGTGGAGCTATAAAAACAAATGATTTTGTACATCAAAGCACTGTACAACTAAAGGTTAGGGAGAAAATCCCAAAAACTCTACATTTAAAATTCCCATGATATTCATGGAGAAAAAGTAAACTGTATTGATATTAACATAAGAAAATCATAGATTGGATTGGATGAGGATTATTATGATCATGGTCTTTGTTTTTGGAATTGTTTTGACTTAATTAAGTTTTTAAGGGGCTGACTTAGCCTTTTGCAACAGTTAAAGAGCTATTTGTTGAATTCTCATCGAATTAAGTAGTACATGATACAGCTTTTATTTTCAGACTTAACGACTATTCATCTTTAACTGACTTTAAACAAACTAAAAGCATTAATTAAAAATTAATTCCAAACTAAAACCTAAAACATCTCATTCAGTTTGTAAATTAAACCTTGCACCCCTTTTCAGATGAATGATGTAAGTAGTTGCTGGGCATATTTACTTAGCATTTTCATTGAGATAACTTGTTTTCTCACAGACAACATTACTCCGACGGTGGAGTTGAACGCACTCGCCATGAAGCGAGGAGAGCCGACAATCTACACGTTTGTAGAGCTGCCTACCTTCTGTTATCCCACACACAACAACTACGCCTACCATAGAGGGGTATACACTCAGGTTAGTTCCCAAATTAATTTCATAGTTTTGTTTTTATTTTTCTTGTTTATTTTATTATCTTGAGTTTGATTATTCATTTGTTTTTAAAAGGTTCGGCCTCCATTTACCCACACTGTTGCAATAGATTACTCTAGGCGACCGCCACTTGCCACTAGGCCACCGCTGCATCCGTATCGTGAATCTCAGGTAATTTTGGTAAAATTTTTTTGCTTGACTAACCTACTAACGTGGTATAAATTAGGTGGTACGGGTTTGGTAAGCTTGGTAGAACTTAGTGCGGTGTGGTATAACTGTTACAAGACGCGAAAGGAATTGTTTGTTAGATGGACTAACTTTTGATATATGCGATGATACTATTTATCCTCCATAATTCTTCCTTTAACTACAAGATAACTAATGTTACAATTTGTATGATCCATAGCCTACTTAAGTTGTTGCTTCCTTGATTTTACTCGGCTTTGTTTACGTTGTTTGTAATTTTTTAGTATTTCATATTTCAGTTTGTGCAGTTAAAAAAAGTCAAATAGGTACTCATTAAAATAAAAAATAAAAAACACTTAATTTTGACAAGCTAATATGTTTAGTCAATTTAATACTAAAAAAATGTGTTGTAGCTTCAACCAGCAATTGGATGGATTATACAATTAAACTTTTCATCTAGTTCAACAGAAAACTAAAACTTCCAATGAGCATGAGGTGGCAGGGATTATAACTTAGGCCTGTTTTAAGTTTCAGCCTATTCGCACCAAATTGCCAAACAGTTCCTTTTATTCAATTCAACCCTGCTATTTTTACATGAATGTTTGCAACATTTTTAACAGATCAAATATCATCTCTGCTCTCTAATGACTATATTAGTGAATTAAGATTAAAAATTTTTGTTGCTTAAACTTTTTTAATATAAAAAAAAAATATCCTATTTAAAATTATTTTTCTTCATTTTACAAAGTTTATCAAACATTACCAAATACATTATTCTTAAATAAGTAAAACCACTTTTTCCATTGAAAAAAAAAATATATATATATATATATATGTGCCATGTTAAATTAAATATACAATAAACCAAAGTGACTTGTACTTTGTTATTGTAGAGATACAAGCCTCCATCGCTGTACAAAGTGACAGTGAAGGTGGGGGACAGAGAGTTCAGTGGTGAAGGCTTGACAGCGCAAGCGGCACGACACGACGCTGCGGCCAAGGCGCTTGAAGTATTGCGTAACCTGCCACTTGAACCTTCAATGGTCGACAACTGTGCAAGTCAGTAGAGAATTAATGCTTAGCATGAGTAGCTGCAACCAACCATTACTGCTTGGCATGGGTATCTGCAACCAACCACAACTACTTGGCATAAGTATTTGCAACCAACCATTACTGCTTGGCATGAGTAGCTGAAGTCAACCACTACTGCTTGGCATGAGTAGCTGAAGTCAACCATTACTACTTGGCATGAGTATCTGCAACCAACCACAACTACTTGGCATAAGTATTTGCAACCAACCATTACTGCTTGGCATTAGTAGTCACAGTCAACCTTTACTGCTTGGCATAAGTAGCTGCAGTCAACCATTACTGCTTGTCATGAGTAGTCACAGTCAATCATTACTGCTTGGCATTAGTAGTCACAGTCAACCTTTACTGCTTGGCATAAGTAGCTGCAGTCAACCATTACTGCTTGTCATGAGTAGTCACAGTCAACCATTACTGCTTGGCATTAGTAGTCACAGTCAACCTTTACTGCTTGGCATAAGTAGCTGCAGTCAACCATTACTGCTTGTCATGAGTAGTCACAGTCAATCATTACTGCTTGGCATAAGTAGCTGCAGTCAACCTTTACTGCTCGGCATGAGTAGTTGCAGTCAACCATTACTGCTTGGCATGAGTAGCTGCAGTCAACAATTACTGCTAGGCATGAGTAGCCTTTAATCAATTATTACTGCTTGGCATGAGAAGTTGCAGTCAACCTTTACTGCTTGGCATGAGTAGCATTAATCAATTATTACTGCTTGGCATGAGTAGTTGCAGTCAACCTTTACTGCTTGGCATGAGTAGCATTAATCAATTATTACTGCTTGGCATGAGTAGTTGCAGTCAACCTTTACTGCTTGGCATGAGTAACTGAAATTAACCACTACTGCTTGCCATAAGTAACATCAATCAAATACTACTACTTAGCACTTTTTAGCATGAGTAGCTGCAAATAACCACTATTGATTGCTTGAATATCATCAATCTCTTTGCCTGGCTCACAACTTCCATAAAATACCTACTTTCATATGGTTGTCCTTTCAGATAAAAGTATTAAAGTTTTTGTTATAACTGACCGCCCCTATGCTAGCGAGTAAAGTAGCACTTGCACTGTTAATGCTTAACCTGATATACAATATTGTGATTATATTTAAAACATAAAACTCTTGGTTCTTTAGTTTAGTGTAGTAAATATATTCTTCAAAGAAACGTCTATTGTCCTTTTATTGTAAGCTTGGTTTTTATATTATTTTCTGTTTACGTTACATATTGCCTACATAAAATCACTGCATAGACATTGACATCTCCAATTTCAACTGTAGCTAGTTAAATACTTCTCCATGGATGGTTTCAATTTTTATGAATTAATGTTAATCATGTTCGTGTTAATATTGTTGGCACATTGAAAACAGTTAAATTGAAAGAAAATGAAATGTGTTTCAACTAGAATCTAACATTGTTAGTTATTACAGATGGAGATCTGAACGCGGTTAACATGGAAGCAGATTCTTCGTCAGAACTCAAATCACCGATCTCGCTCGTCCATGAGCTGGCACTCAAGCGTAACTTGACTGTTATCTTTGACGTGATCAGTGAAAAAGGCCCTCCTCACATGAGAACGTTTGTGACGAGGTGTTGTGTTGGCGAAAACTTTGAAACCTTGGGTGAAGGCAATGGGAAAAAAGTAAGTAGTTTTCTCAATGTAGTAGTAATTTTTGTATTTTAAAAGTAGCCAGTTTAAACAAAATTAAATACAATTGTACAATTGTTTTTGTATTGTAAATTGTATTCGTGTTTAGCTACTTAATGTTGGAAGAGAAAGCACTTGGCTTAGGAATACATTAAGGAACAAGGAATAAATACTAGAGATGTGCGAGCACAGGTTTTTCAGGTCGAGTCGAGTTCGAGTCGAGTAATTGGCAAAAGATTCGAGTCTCGAGTTCGAGTCGAGTTTAAACCCAAAAGATCGAAGAATGTGTAAGTTTAAGTAACTCCTTAGGCCTAGAGCATGTAACTTTTAAAACAACCTTGTTACAAGCTGAAATATGATTATAAATAAATTAATTATTAATATTTGTGCAGTAACATATCAATATAATGCATAGAAAATAATTTTAAAACAACAACAATAGAGCTCATAAATGAACTTCTACTTCTGTGAAAAATAGGTAAGTGAGCATATATTTATCCACAAATTAAATACAATAATCCCTATTGATAAGTAATATTGCATAATACTTGGCTAAAATTACTTAATACTTGCATCTATTAGTTATTAAGGTTGCAATTACAATAATAAGTTTAATAAAGAGATTTATTCTAAAACTTGAAATTTTATTTCCTACCTTTTCACCTTTAGTTTTGTAAGTTTATTACCATTATTCTTTTAGTTGGTGTGGTTTTTGTAACAGTAGGCCTACAAAATTTCCAATGGTTTGACAGTGGGTAAAGTAAAAATAAATTTTGAAATAAAGAAAAATAAATTTTTTAATCTTGTATGTTAATTGTAAACAAACATTCTGTCAAAATACTCAAAATATATGTTAAAAATAAAGTACAAATAGGCCTACAAGTAGTCTACCTTACTGATAAACAAAACAATTGTAGATTGAAAACTGTACTGAATAATGTAATAGGCTCATACAATAGTAGTTATAGAAATCAAATGAAACCTAGACTTAGGCCTAACTCACTATAATCAATTGTATTCCATGCACATTAACCACATTAATGCAAGTTGTCATGAAGGAAAACAAACTATGTAATCTAGAAGGCCAAGTGCTAGCACTTAATTATTTTGAGATATTTGTAAGCTTTTTTTAGGAGTGCTACTATTGTCTTTATGAATGAATTCATACTTATTTATGAGTTATCTAATGTTTTACAAGTTTACAGAATAATTATTTTCAACCACGGTAGCATCAATTTATAATTATCAACTTATAACAGATGCGTTAAGAAGGTCAATGACCCAAAACATCATGATTGTGCAATGTTGTATTTTGACATAAAAATGTAAATCATGGTATTAACTCTAATTTGAATATTTCTCCTGGTCCCTTGCAGATTGTATTTTCAATGCTAAATAATTAATTGTGGTCAATTCAAATCAAACCAGGCAAGGAAAAAACCTGCTATTGTAATCCCTCTGCCCCTACCCAGCCATTTCGGAAGTGGTGAAAGTCTAGTCTGGTCTAAATATAGCTCCAAGGTCTTACCCTCCCCTTCCCCCCAACCCCCTACACCACTCGCCGGCTCAGTTGCAGTTCGAGGTCATTGCACAACCCCTCCCTCCCTTCTATTGTTTTGCCTTTTGTAGTGTTTCTATTCTTTTTAAAACTTAACTGACTTTTTTAAACATAGATTTATTGGTTGTAACAGTTCAGTAGTGGAATTTTCTATTGTGAAACAGTACTTTAAAACAAAATCACTACCGATCATGTCATTCAGTGTCAAGTCCAGCCAGATTATGCCATTGCCATTGCCAGTCAGTCGCCGGCGACTGCTTTGAGTTGACCTATTCTGTTGTGACAGCTATAAAAATAGGTTAGGACAACTACCTCTTGCTTATTTCTACACTGTAGAAATATTTGTATTACTGTAGAATCTATAGTAATACAAATTATAAAGCATTTTATGTAAACACAAGTTACATTTTAACAAATATTGATTTTTTACAATTTTAAACCAAACTCGACTCGAAACTGCCGAGTTCAAAGATAAGCTCGAGTTTCAAGGCCGTACTCGACTCGAACTCGTAATCTCGAGTACTCGCACATCTCTAATAAATACATAACTAACTTACCAAAGAAAACCGTTTCAGGCAATTGAGAGCACACAAAAATTCACAACACAATTAAATTGGTGCTTCGCCTACAGAAAAGATTTTAGACTCCCAGCTTTCTAGCGCTCGACGCTGTGATTTAAAACAAATGTGTAACTTGCTTTTGAGACGACCCTCGTAGTATATTAAGCAGTATATGAGGTTAAAAAAATGCAGGGCTGTGCGAATCCAGAAATTTTGGTTCAGATCCGAATCCGAATCATAGCTGTACAGATTTTATCGAATCCGAATATTTTAATTAATCCCGAGTCGAATCTGGGTCGAATACGAATCTCAAATTTACAGCCATTATCGAACCCGGATCGAATCCGAATCTGAAATTTAAAGCTGTTATCGAATCCGAATATTTAAACCTGTTCAGAGTCAAATCCGAATCCGAGGAAAGTCAGCAGTACCAATTTTCACATTTTTAGACCACATTTTCTGGGGGCTGAAATAACTTAGGGAATTGCTTAAAAAAATTCTTGAAATGGGCCAAATAAAAAAGTTATAAAATTTAGGCCTACCTATTTGAAGTTTTGAAACTAAAAAATTGGGCATTAGTTAGGCATACCACCTAGGCCTAAGTTACTCGCTAAAAGTGATGGACTACCAATTTGTGTAGTCTAAAACATAGGCCCAGCCTATTATACACCTCGGTGTTAATCCTCCAAACAAGCCTATGTCTGCATTACTATTACAAGTAACAACTCACACTGTGAGGTTAAGTTTACTGATAGCCAAGATAGGGTTCAAATGCGACCTACACTAATGTGCCTAAAGCCTAACACCAAGTTGGTCAGGTTCCTAACATGAACCAGTCAACAGCAAATCGGAGTGCACAAGTAGTTTTTTAGTGTCTAAAAAATTATATTGAAAATTATATTCAATCGGAATCTAGTAAATTTGAATATCAAATCCCAACTCGGATCTATTTCCAAGAAATTCGAATCCGAACCCGGATCTCTTACCAGTAAATTCGAATATCGATTCCGAATCCGAATCCAGTTAGAAACAGTAGATTCATTCTCGAATCCGAATCGAATCTCTAAAAAGATTCGGATTCGATTCGTTTTTCGTACTATTCGCACAGCCCTGAAAAAATGTAACCACATGTGGACTACTTTCTAACTTAAAATAATTAATATAAAAGTCATTATACTTAATATACTTACTACCATGGACCAGTTAGTATACTACTGAAAAATTAAACAACACCTTAATCATTGCTGTATTGATTGCTTATAGTTTTTCATGTCAACCTTTGACTTTGATGCTTATTCAGATATCTAAAAAGCGAGCGGCAGAGAAGATGCTGGAGCAGTTGAAGCTGCTTCCCCCCACCACCACTGTCACTGCAGCCAACTGTACAGGATCCATACGTATCAAGCGGAAACCCAACCCTGCCAAGAAGAAATCTCGGAATCTCATCAAAGTCACCAATTCTAATTCTAATAAGGTAATATAGAATTGTATTTTAAGTAGTAGGGTTTTGCAAAATAAAGATATAGGCTATAATATACATTCCACTGAATCACAAAAATTGCAACTAATCCACAACCAGTAGTCCAGTACAGACATTGTAAGTATACCTGTCTGTCGTGGAACTGGTTGTTGACGCATATTAGATGTTGTGCACACTTAGCCTCAGACTAAACTTCTTAGATTGTCATTCATCTTTAATCGTTAATGGCTAAAGAATATCTTGAAAACGAAGTTGGCCTTAAAAAGAGAACAAACACTCGGGTTTTCTATATTTTAGTTCTTATGGAACTTAAATGAACAGAATTAAAAGAAAGACTTTTCTGCAATATATAAAGGGGGAAAAATACTTGTTCTATCACAGTTTGAAGTGTATTTTGATCAAGGCAAGGGTAATTTAGATGTATCCCTTTACCCTATAATTTAACCAATAAAGGATTTTTTGTTATAGCTCTCTGAGGAAAAATGGAAACTATCATGAGAAATCTTATTTTAAAATCTTCTTCCATATAAACAGATCCAGAAAAAGGTTTAGGGGTTTTCAAAACTAAAACATTGCAAAGTAGTTGTTTAACAATCTTTGTTTGTTGTTTCAGGAAAATAACTCAGAAAATGCAGATACGGTTGATGAAATTAACCCAATCTCTAGGCTAATGCAAATTCAACAAGCGAAAAAAGAAAAGGAACCTGTCTATACGCTCATGGAAGAAAGAGGGCAAACAAGGCGAAGGGAATTCTTCATGGAAGTAAGAAGTTTAGATTTGTTTGTATTGAAATCCTTTTAGTTAAAGTAAGCTACATCAGATTTCCAAATATACGGATAGTTGAATTTAAAAAAAGTGTTTTCAAATGAGTTAAAAGTACAGTAGAACCGTACTAATGCGACATAGATCATGAAAACAAATTATCAAAGCTTTTTACAATTGCGGCAACATCTTAAATATTTTCTTTGGTAGTGGAAACATTATCTTCTTCTCTTGACTGCGGAAAAATCCTAGACAGACAAGTCCCACGGTTATAGAAAAAAACATCATCGCCTTCCGCAATCTATGCAGAATCCTAAACATGCTGCTCTTCGGAAAATTTAACTTTTTCACTGTTCCGCCCTTGGTTCCGGTCCCATTAACAGAGATATACTGTACCCAGTTATAAACCAATTTTAATAACAGATGTTTTTGCATCCGTCTTATAACTGAAAATGAATAAAAAACATATTAAAAATCAAATTAATTAAAATGTTGCTTCATAATTTGTAATTAGATTAGGCCTACCCCAAACTGCAAAAAACTACGAGAACTTATTTAAATTTTCTGGCCAGTTTGTGTTGTTCTTGAGGTGATCTAGGTAATTGGTGACTCAGATGATTAGAGTTTGAATTCTTACTGTATGATAAAAAGTTATGATGCTTAAAATTTTTATGATGTCAGTTTTAATAGTCTAAGAGCCAGTGAAAAACTACCTGTAAGTATTAGACCAGACCTGGGGTTTTGTACAGTGAGGCCCCTATACCTACCAAAACACGAGGTGCGCACAGGCAAGACAGGTATTGATTTTTGGCGAATTTTAAATGCATTTGAGCACGTCTGCCGTTTTGATATTTGAAAATATATTATTATTATCTAAGAACAACAATGGCAGACCATTTACACACATTTATCATAGTGGCAGTCAGTTTTGAAAATGCTGAAAAAATTTAAAAGATTATTAAATAGCAGCATATGTTGAGTTTGGTATCAAATTAAAGGTCTCCGTTAGTAAAACACAATGCCACAAACCCAAATGGACAATTGAGTAAAAAATGATAGCTGTCTAAAGATTTAATTTGCAATGCTTACTATACAGTGGGGCGCCCGCTAGAAGTCGGAAGAAAATCATAAACGTAAGCTTAGGTCAATATGCACATCAGATTAAAGATGTTTATAAGCAAATTCCCACTAATTTGAGCTGAAAAAAATGCTTGGTAAAAAACAGCAATCGTTCAAAGATTAACAATGGCTGATTCAAGTAATATTTGAACGCCTGCCAATTTTTACCCAGCTGTTATTTTGAGCTTAAATTTGCGGCATTGTATTCCACTAATAAAGACCATTAATCTGATGTGCATATATCGACCTATGGTTACGTTTATGATTTTCTTCCGACATCTAGAGGGCGCCCCACTGTATAATAGGCCTAAGCATTGCCAATTCAAGCAATCTTTGGACAGCTGTCATTTTTTACCACTTTAATTTGATACCAAAGTCGACCTATGCTGCTATTTAAATTTTTTCAGCACTTTAAAAACTGACTTCCACTATGGCAAACGTGTGATAATGGTCTGCCATTGTTGTTTTTAGGTAATAATATATTTTCAAAAATCAAAACGCTAGACGTGGTCAAATGCGTTTCAAATTCGCCAAAAATCGAAACCTGTCTTGCCTGTGCGCACCTCATGAAGACCCTCCGTCCACCACTTTGGGATTAATGACTCCCCACCTCATGTATGGTAGGTATAAGGGCCTCATTGTACAAAACCCAGGTCTGGCCAAATACTTACAGGTAGCTTTTCACTGGCTCTTAGACTATAAAGCATATATATATTGTGACGTGTGACAAATTGGAGAATTTAGAAGAAGTTAAGTAATCCAAAATGTATTTCCTATATAACACCAGATAAACCTCCTTTAATTCATAAAACATCTCCATATTTTCTCTTAAGGATATATTCCCATGTCACAGCTTGTAGCCTATATTGCTTTCAAAGGTTTGCAATTTAGCAGCGGTACATATATTCCGCATCATGTGCCTGAGATGGTATTGATGCACAACTTTCTTAGATCAAAAGATTTTTCTTTCAGATCAGAACAACATCTTAATACACTTTCTTTGCTTCAGGTCACTGTAGGAGAACATTCTTTCGTTGGGTCGGGGCCAAACAAAAAAATAGCCAAGAGGAATGCGGCCGAAGGGTTATTACAAAAATTAGGCTACTCCAGTTATGCTCCGGGCAAGCAAAGACTAACGTCAGCAGACCTGAGTAGAAAGGTAAGTGTAATGTTGAACACTAAATGCATTAAATATAACTAGGCAACTGATAAGTATTATAATTATAGTGGTTTCATTTCATAAGCAAGCATATTATGAGATAATTACCCTACTTGATAATAATGTGATGAGTCGGTAGCATAACAGACTATGAAACTAAAAGCAACTAAAGCAGCGATGTCAAAGGGTTTCTTTCCCAGTACTACCACTTTAAATTTTTTATTAAAGTTAATTCTTGGCTTACCCATTGATTTGCTTGATTGTTCCATGCACAGGCCTCTCTACCTTTTAAGTTTAACTTATTTTTATTTTTGCCCAAGTTGTAGTTGTCATTAGAATAACAAATACATTGCATCATGTCAGTGTTGTTTAAATCCCACTCTACCTCTACCACTAACTTTCCAGTTCTCTAGAGCATAGTTTCCATATGTAGGATTTTTATCCTAAAAACGGGATTTTTAGACCATGTGCAGGATTTAAATGGATGTGGGATAAAACAAGTTTTCTGGCTTTCACCTATTATATTTTTTTTACTTTTTTAAGGTAGAAACTAACCAAAAATAGTTGAATTATTGCAGTATATAGTAGTGTGACACTTAAGGTTTAAAGAGCTATTGTAGCATGATACGTCAAAAAGATCTTTTGGGATGAACAGGATTTTTTTCATTGCAGGATTTTCTCGGCCCCAAAAGCAGGATTCTTGTTTTTTTTTTTTGTGTGGATACATTGCTTTCAATATAAGTTATCAAAAAATATTTTTGTTTGTTGAAGGTTATTGTAACGGTTATTTGTTGGCAGGCGTTTGTTGACACAGACAACCAAATGAAGGTGTCTGTGGGCGGGTCGAGTGGTCGTCAGCTGGTGCCCGGACTACTGCTTATGTCTGACAACCATGTGACAACCAGCAACAACAACTCTGGCTACCCACCCCAGCACAGGGTGCCGCCAAAAGGTAGCATACTGTAGTTTTTATTAATACTTTACTGTAATGTTAATGAAGACAAGTACAGTAGAACCTCGCTAATTCGAAAACCTCTAACATTTCTAGAGATAGAATGTTAATCTGTTCGCCTCAGAAAACCAATAAAATTTGAAAAATAATATACCGATAATTCAAAGTGATTTTTACACTTCATGCAGCCTCTACAATTCGAATATGCACATACTTGAACCTCTACAATTTGAATTTTGTTGCCGTAATTTGAACTGTTACCTCCAAGATTCAAAGTCAGCCTCTACAATTCGAACTGCGTTACCGTAAGGCTCTGCAATTCGAACTCAGGAAAAAATACTCCTGTTAAAACATGAACTGACGCTCTTATTTATGTTCCCACAATGAGTTCATTAGTCTCCGTTCTCTCAAACACTACACTTAAAACTGGGACCTCCATAATTCAAATTGTATTTATTCTGACCTCTATAAATCAAACTCTCTATATTTCAAACTTCCTATGATTCGAAATATATTGCCTTTCCTCTGAAATTTAAATTAGCGAGGTTCTACTGTTTCTAGTTTGTAAATTAATATGTTTTTTTTTTGTGGCTTTTGTATGTAGTACAAACTATGAATCCATGGCAATGATGTCAAAGGTTCACATCATGGTGCTTGCGAATTTTATCAATACAGTTCACTCTTTTACTATACTGGCTCTTGGCTTAGCCAGATACGTTTCACGCACAGGCCCTAGGTGTATATGGGCAACAAAGTAAGGTTAAAAGAGGCTGTCAATCTCTTAAAAAAAACTTGTTCAATTCCTGCAATGGCTAAATTCTACATTGTAGTTAAAGAAAACCAAATTAGATGCAGTCTTGGAGAATTGATGAGAGCCAGATGGGTGTATTTTTTCTTCAGCACAAGAAAAGTTTTAACAAGGAGGCTTATGCATTGTCATTGTTTTGCTACAAAATGTTAACTGCAATGCTACTAAAACTCGGTAAAGTATTTTTTTTTAGTCCAAGGACGCTAGGCACGAGCCTGGGATTGTTTTTCACATTCGAACAATAATACAGTAGACTTCCTCTTATCCAGACAACTTTTAACCGGACATCGGTTTAACCAGACTACACTCGGCGGAAACGACATCTCTTTAACCGGACAATTTTTATCAGCACATTGGTTTAACCGGACTAGATCGGCAGGAAGTGGGCGGTACTGAAACGACTATTCTCGTGGAAAAGATTTAAGACCAGTGATCACGTGTCTAAATACAATGGTCTCCTAAATTTAAGTCGAATATCACAGTAAACGGTCCATTTTAACGAATTTTTGGGGACGTCAGTTTAACCAGAAAAACTATTATCCGGACTGGCCTCGGTCCCTCGGTCCGGATAAGAGGGAGTCTACTGTAAATAGTCGTGGATAAAGTAATAGAAGTATCCAGTATGAACATGACTAATCTGTTGTGCCCCTCGAATCTACATTGATGGGAAATCACCAGTCTACTTACCTGAATATCACGTTTCCAGTTTGTACCAATAACAGCTAGTATTGAAAGAAAAGCTTGTCAATGGTGTATGTGAAAATGAAATGCTACCAAGTCTTTTCTTTTAGCGAATTTCCCATATAGGGAATAAGCTATTACCGTAGTACTCATGGTAAGACCTGGACGCGGGACCGATTTTTTTTTTTCGTTTTGAGGTCCCTAGAGGCCAAAAACACCATTCGTTCAAATTCATATATATATATATTTATATATTTATATATATATATATATGTGTCCGTTAGCACGATAACTCGAGCAAAAATGATCCGATTTTGATGAAATTTGGTACAAACGTGTAAACCTACGTTTATTCAAACGAGTTCGCGATCCAGCATGATCGGACCATGGGAACGGGGGTTTATGGGGGGTTTTATGGGGTAAAAATAGGTTTTTCTCATTTTTGACTTAAAAAACATAAAATTTTGCAATTTCTTTCTAAACCATTTTGTAGAGCTTAAAAAAACAAATAATTTAGTATATTGAAGCGTTATTGTGCGCCTAATGGTTACGGAGAAAATTTCAAAAAATTGTAAATTTAAAATTCCCATGTTATTCTTATGGAGAATAAGTAAACTGTTGTAGTTTGCTTGTTTATGAACATATTTTGATCAAATTTGGAAAATTTGTTATTTCTTACTAACTATTAACATTTTACAAAAAAAAACTGTTTTACCCTCCCTGATGCAGCAAACCTAAGTACTTTTTAAACTAATTCTATTTAAATCGGGAATAAATGTTATATTTTTAAGTAGACATTTCAGTGTAAATCCAATCAGTCAAATGGAAATTCGCTTAGTCTGCAGGTTTGCTGCGGCGGGGGTATTTATGTTGTATGTGTCTTATGCTCAGAACCTTGTCATCCCAACAATCAATAATATCCCTAACCTTTGTACTCTATGTCTAACCACATAATGTTGATGTAGGTCATGCAGTGAACCTGCAGGCGACGGCGGCGATGGCGAAGGAGTACCTCAACGGGACTGGTCCCATGGCTGACGGAGGCTGTGTAGACGGTCCCGCAGTCACCTCCCCCACCTCTGCCCCAGCTGTTCGGCCAAAGGACCAACTACTCTATCTAGCACAACTGCTTGGTTTCCGGGTTCAATTCTCTGATTTTCCCAAGGTAATCATCGGAACAGTCATTACTTTACTCTATTGACATTTTTCCCTTGAGTTAATGAAAACTCATGATAAAGGTCGACTTAGGAACCAGATCTTAACATCTATAACGTAACATCAATGCAAAAAGTTACTCAAATGACTTTTTTTTGGCGCTGAGACCTCCTAAACTTCTTATACATACTTTTTACACAATTTCACACTTTAGGAAGGGTGTTTAGGGTGAGGTCTGTGTCGTTTTTGTTGTCTGTGTTTGTTTACATTAGCCTATAATTATTGTCTGCTAAAATATACAATCTTCATCTGTATAAAAAAAACTTTTTTTTAATTGACAATTGTTATCTGAACTTTACTATCTTTATTATGGTGAAATGGGTGTCGTCTTCTGTTCCAATACACTCCATTGGCCAAGTCTACCATTTCTATTGCTTAGCTAATTGTCCAATTCATTTGAATATTTATAATGGTTTTGGCTAACCCTGGTTTTGGTTTATCGGAGTGATGCTTAAAGAAGTTTTACTGTTATATTAAAAATGAAGTAGATGTTAAAAATTAAATTATTATATAAATAAATTGGATTAATGACAAAAGGGTTCAAGTTGTGCTACGTACATAATATGATTTGTACGTGGTGATACGTAATTGATAATTGTACGTAATTGATGTCGTCGAATATTGGTAATTTTCATGTTTACAATTAATTAAATGCAGCCAATCTCAATCTGTGATATAATTTATAGCTACTGTGATAATTATGTGTATTAGTTTAAGGATTTTTTTTTACGAAATCAATTACAATATTGTATTGTTTAACACATTGCGTGCGGGTCGGTCGCCGGCGACCGGTTCCTTATCATTGAGATAAGTGCAATTTTCAAGAGTAAACATGACGGCCGCATTGAAAGAGTTAAAGATGGAATAAATGACTATTCATTGACTATTCATTTATATCGTGATATATTATAATTTATAATGATTTTTTTTTTTGCAGGGAAACCACAGCGAGTTCCTTAGTTTAGTTTCATTATCGACTGATCCACCTCAAGTTTGCCACGGGTCTGGCCTTACGACGGAGCTGTCTCATGACCAGGTGGGTTTATGGGCAAATGTTGGTCAACAGTGGTAGTTACATTGCCAAGAGCTACGTATGAATGGTTTGACATTCTATAGTGCTAAAGGCGTGGTCCTCTAGTTGCCTTTATCACTTTGAATTTAGATGGATTCCTCTTTAAAGCTGTTATCGATACATACCTCCTCCTAGACTGTTGTCTGAGTAGTAACAAAATAATAAAACTTGAGGCCATTTAGGAGTAGAAATAGTCCCAAACAAGGCTTGCATAAACTCGAGGATCCTTCTCTTATCTTGGTAGCCTATTAAATTGTTCAATAGGATGATACCTCTTGGCTCTCACCATGATAATAATATGTCTTATAGTTTGGAAGGATATGTTACATTTTCTATCATTTTGAACCCCATGAGTTAGTCATTATTATGCATATTAGATTAGGCCTAATTATTTCTAAAAAAATACTAATGAATGAAAACTAAAATGGACAAAAAAGGACCTATTAACAGTCTCTTAGTTTGTATCACGTGAGTTATTAAAACTTGTTAACTGATAGCTCAGTACCTTCATGAAGGCATGTTTAATGGTACATTGCTTATTCCTTGTTTCAGGCTGCACTAACAGCGTTACGAGCTCTCTCAGAGATGGGCCTCGACTCAGTCACTCCCATGAAGAAGGAACCTCCTACCAATCCCAGCGATGGGTTTGTACGCTTTAATTTCTCTCTGAGTCTAAACGTTTAAGTTAGCCTATTTAATTAGCATTACAAAGCTGTTTCATTAGTGCAGCTTTTAGACGATCTATATAATTAATCGCCAACACAAAATTTGTCCTTTGAACTCCCCTGCAATTTCTTAACTGATTTTGACCATTGACGTCTCATTGGAATGGTGTTACAATTCAATGTTATTGGAATGGTGTCGTATAGATTTGCAAACTGACTTTAAATTTTTGAAAAAGTCCCTTGGGTTCTGCCGCAGTGGCTTTTAAAGTTCTTGTGTTATCCTTATGAAGAACATAATTGTTTACATTAAGATCAGCTGGATTTAATTGCTGTTAATATCAAAGTTTAAATTCAAGGAAATGCGTCCTACAAAAATAAAATTTTACCGACCTGGTTGAAATTAAATATTTATACTCTTTGAATTTGGTTTTGCGTAAATGTTACAAATGGAAAAAAGTGAGAATGCCTGGACAATTTGATATATTATCCAAATGAGTATATTGAATTGACACAGTACGGTACTGTTTTCTTGACAATCATCGAAAGAACCGATTTGCAAAATCTGGTAACGTAAAACGTCATAGAACGCCACCAAGTAGAAGAATTAGGGATAAAAATTTTTAAAGAATTTATTATTGTTATTAGCCTATATAATGAAGAAAACAACAATGTGTCAAGCAAAGCCGAACACAGAAAACAACAATGTGTCAAGCAAAGCCGAACACAGGAGAGTTTTTTTCATGTACGAGGCGAAGCCGAGGACGGGAATAATGGAGCAAGTGTCAGGAAATAGCTTCGGTACGAGTTATGAACGATACTTTTTATCAAGACGCAAAAATACACACATATGAAATAACATACCTCAGTAGTTTTCAAATAGTTTTAGAACACTCGTATAAGTTTCATGATGATCGATTTTTTAGATAAATATAAAAATACAAACTTGGTCGCTTACTTTAATTGAATTAACATTTTGAAATTTGTACCAGTTACAAAACCATCTGTATTCCTCTTCATATTTTTCCTGTAATTTCTCTGGTGGCATGTTAGTTACCTCTAAAGCTGTTTTTATCAAATCATCAGTAATGTTAGACATACATTGAGCAATTTCAAAAAACGCACTATGCCAAAAATACAGCAAACCAACTAATGCCTGTTTCTGTATTCATTTTAATTGTGCAACAATGAAAACAACTTATTTAAATCATTAAAATAAACCTAACAAAACTAGCGCACGTAGTGGGTGGAGAACTAATCGAGAGCGAGGGAAAGTAAATTGGCAAGGGAAAATCAGCTGATCGTTTTCCCTCATTCTAAATTAGAGCTTGGGAAACAACTACATACTTTCTTTAATGTCAACTGTTATCAAAAATAGTTACTTTCGGTAAGGAGTGATGAAAATGGTTTTTCCCCTGCTCAAACTTTTCTGTTTTGAATATTCTGTAATTGTAAGTATAAACATGTATATCAGAGTGTCTTGTGTTTCTTGTTATAGCATGGATGCCTATTCAGAAAAGCCTACTGTCCCTACAACAATCAACCAAACCTATGCATATGCTACATAATTTCAAGCTATTTCTCTATGTTACAGGATGTATTCCAGCAAAGGCAACCCAGTGATCAAAACCAACTATGTTAACGGGGGTCACCCTAATAAGTAAAGAATGATCTTTGTAGAAACACGTGTAATTATTATGATAAGTTAGTCTACTTTGTATAATGTTCGGATCAGTAGGATCATAATGTTGATCATGTTGCACTAATGTGTATCAAGTGTTATTTGCCCTAGTTGAAGTTATTGTCTATTTATACGACCGTCTACTTCTGTAAGCAATAAGAATTTACCTGTCCACTGTCAGGTGTATACATTTTATTTATGGCTTTTAAAGTTTTAACGTATACATAATATATTATACTGCGCAAGCTCCCCATAGATCATTATTTATTTTCTGTTGTACATTTCTGTATTAGTTAAGTTGAATCGAGTTTTATTTGAGACGTATTTTATATTTTTTATAAAAAACATATATATTTTATTTGTGAAATTCCACTCTGTAGATATTTATATTGTTGTGGCAGGTATAGTTCTTTACCCTTGTTATCCTCTTAGTAAAAGGTCACTAAAGTGGGTTGCATGTTTAATAAAATCTTAGAATATCGTGTAATATTATTCTAGATTTTATTGCCAGCTTGTAGTAAGTCAGCATATTCTGCATTATTCAGTTAATATTCATCGTTGTTGTTCAATGTCAAAGAGTGTTGAATGGTTTCGGTGCAAGCTACTTTACAGAAGCCTTTTTCTAAACTATATTCATGTAATATTATGAATAAATTCATTATATGTGCTGTATCTAGTTTTTATTACTTCCTTCTCACAGATATTGTAAATGGAGATTTTTTAATGGTCTTGAAGGTTGAATGAAAAAACTGCTTGAAAAGTGTCTTAATTTCATTAGAGCCTGGTCGATTATCCAAAGCTTGGTCTTCCAAAACATTGGTTAAAATGTGTTAAAAAATGAAAAAAAAACCCTAAATCAAATTGCTAAATCACAAGTATGAGAAACCTCTGCTCAGGTATTGCCTATGAGAATTCATTCTCTTGTCCTCTATAACTGTGGGCGGGCACGATATCTAAGTTGCCTTTGCCTGTGAGCATTCTTCAGTGACAGTTTGCACGCTATGTTGTTGTAGTAATGTTTGATACTAAACTAAACAACTGACAACAATTATTACCGATTGTTATTTGTACATATTACATTTTTCCGGACAATGCCAATTTTTTTTATAAGCAACTATTTACTGAATTATTATAAACTGTTAAAGCAGGCAGAAGAATTTACATTCAGGTATTTTTGACAAAGGACTTATTGGAAGAGCAGGCTTAGCTGCACACCGGGTGAGTGTTTTTAATAGGCAGCACCACTCGTATACAGATCAAATTGAAATATTTCATTGTCACTGAACACTTTGTCAATCGCAAAGAAAGGAATATACACAATAAAAGAACACAAACCTTGTTTGATCCTACAATCACATAAGACCAATAGATGGAGCACGCCTACCTAACTAACATTAACGCAGGTAAAGCTTATTGTAGGTTAGAAGCGCTAGATGTCAATGAAAACGGCACCAAAACTCAATGTTCCGCTTCAAAATAACTCGACATTTAGCCTAAGTTACTTAGACTAAAGGTAAATCGTTGAAACTAAGTATGCATGATATCAATAAGTCTAGGACATTATTGGTTCTAATTAAAAGCTTTAAAGTTAATATTTTCTATTTTAAATCTTAAAATAAAGTCGGTCCTTTTAAATGAGTTTTAAAATATCACATAAAAAAGTTTGTCGGCTGCTACTTTTTTTATTTTTTGGTCAGGTAAGTTAAAAAACAGTGGTTTGTGTAGCTAGAGTTGAATTTTTTTTATCAAATTTTTAGCTGGTGTAGTTTGGTTGTAATTTAAATTGTAATATAGGGACTACCCGCCGTGCCGCGTTGCGCCATGCGAGCAGATTCTGCCTACAACCTAACTTGTAATTCAGTTTAGATACTCAAGTTTGGAGCTATACAGAAAAGTTACTAAAATAATTAGAAAAACACGGAGTACGTATAAATGTTCTTTGTTTTATTTTTTGTATTCATTTAAAAATAATATATTTTTTAGCTCTTTCACAATCATTAATATGCCAGTCAGAATATAGAGAACAGTAGTTGTATAAAGAGTTTCAGAAACTTGTGACTTTGAAAATTCGTACATTGTAAACCAAACGCTAGAACATTATCAAACTTTAATACGATATAGATACATATATTGTAAATTAATATGTAGCTTTTCAGAATTTTTCTTTCACCTAAAAAGCTGTTGTTGTTAATTATGTAAACCAACTTTTTATAAGAAACGGTTAACGCGTAGAAAACAAATTAAAAGCGTATTTTGAAGGTCATTGTGTTAGTAATAAAAAAATTTATAGTATAAAGGTGTATTGTCACGGATATTTTTGATAAAAACTAACATTTAATTAGTTGCGCCCGCTATTAGGGCTCATCACAGCCGGCAGCCACCATCTTAGTGAAGAATGGTGAAAAATACTGGCTTCACGTCGCAGCCAACATGCTCCATCTATTGGTCTTCTTATGTGATCGTTGGTTTGATCATAGATATAGTTGTATAGACAATTATGAAAGCGTAGAGGACGTAGAAGGTTTGTCAAACGAGTTGCCCATTTCAGTTGCAAAACTGTCTTCCTGTGTGCCTTAGAACTCATGACTTTGGAAAATTGTGACCAGGTTGTTAAGTCTGAGTCGGTTACAGATACTAACAATTTAACTTATAAAGCTGAAACAAACTGTGGGTGACTTGCTAACATCACCAAAAAGCCTGAGATAAAGACCCCTCCTGGCTTGATTGATAAATAGTCTTACCTAATACTCTACTTCCAAGGGGCTTCTTTGTCAAAATCAACCAATATTTTACACATTAAAACACATTCCGTTATAACTGAAAACAAATTTTAACTTCTATTTTTTCACTATGTTTGAGGCGAATAAAAGACTTGAAGTACGAGTTCTACTGCTTAACTTTATTTTGGATTGGTAAAAACAGTTTGAATTCAGCAGGCAGTTCGTCCTCAGAATAGAGCCGGTCAGAGAAATACACTCTTCTTATCCTACAGTTGGCATGAATCTGCACTCGGAGTGTTTCAATGTAGTTAGTTCCGTACGCTCTCCTAGTAAAGTCTGCCAGATTGAACTGGATCTGATTCCATCCGTCATCGAGTCTCATAGGCATTGTACAAATGAACGGCTTTACTCGAGTTGTGGATTGGTAGTTGCTGGCTCTGAATCTTCTTCTGACATTTTTGTCATCCAACACCTGAAAGAAAAATAACCTGTCATTGAGTAGCTGATAAGAAAACAATATTAGTAAGTTAATAATCGTTGGTCCCTTAATTATTCGACCCTTGATAATCCAAACTTTTCAGTAATTCGACTAAAACCCCACCCTAAAAAATCATAGCCTAAAAGTACCGTAGGTCTATTTGTAACTTCACATAATTAATAGCAGTAACTTACTGTATAGAACAATATCTATTTTCTACTGCACTTTTTAAATTGCACAATAATTAATGCACTTTCTATAAAATTAATTAATGTATAGTAGTAAGGTAAGCCTACAGTAATTTATTAATCATGTACAATGCCAAACTGCAATGATACTACAGTCGTGATAAATAAAGCAGGAACCTTAACTGTCTCCTCAGATTCCCTAGACCTAATTTAAATGGCACTACTTATCGATGGTCTAGTTATTAATAGGTACCAGCCTACTTGCTGCTCGTTAAAGATGGATTCGAGGGACTACTGCTAATAAAACTTTTAACACACACATAAAACACTTTGACAGCATACTCTAAGTAAATAACACCCCCGCCGCAGCAATCCTGCAGACTAAGCAAATTTCCATTTGCCTAATTGGATTTACACTAAAATGTCTCCTTAAAAATACCATACTTATACCCTATTTAAATAGCATTAATTTGACGAGTACTCCAGGTTGGCTGCAACAGGGAGGATAAAAAAGTATTTTTTGTAAAATGTTAATAGTTTAGTGAGACTTGACTGGGACGGGTGGCATTGTCCTGTAATCCAGCTACTACCGTAGGAGGTCACGAATTGTGGATATTTATAGGTATTTACTGTAGATGCGATACTCTCTGGTGTGGATTAAAGACTGCACTAGTGAGTACTACGACTATCCGCAGTACTATCCTGATAATTAGACCAATTCGTATATACCAAGGCAAAAATGTGTTTCGGATTCCACTATAAACTGTAGGTCCCTTAGTTGCCATTAGCTGTAAGGGATATTAATTAACAGCTGCGTCTAAGGAATATTTCGGCCTTAACTTAGTCACTAACAAGACTACATCGAGGACTTTTAAGTAAGTATCAAGTACGTAAGCACAAGATCGCGCCACTCATCCTAAACTCATCTCCATCCATAGGTACTAGGCTTAAAATACCTACTTTGTATGGTCACCATTTCATCGAAAAGTATTAAATAAATGCATTTTCCAAATTTGATTAAAATATGTTCATAAACAAGCAAAATACAACTGTTGACTTATTCTCCATAAGAATAACATGGGAATTTTAAATTTACAATTTTTTGGAATTTTCTTCGTTTAACCATTAGGCACATAACAATGCATCAATATAGGCCTACTAAATTATTTGTTTTTTAAGCTCTACAAAATGGTTTGGAAAGAAATTGGTAAACTTTATGTTTTATAGGTAAAAAAATGGGAAAACCTAATTTTTACCCATGAAACCCACCATAAACCCCCGTTCCTATAGTCTGATCGTGCTGGTTCGCAAACTCGTTTAAATAAATGTAGGTTTACTTGTTCATACCAAATTTCATCAAAATCGAATCATTTTTGCAGGCTAACGGACACATGTAATTATAATCAAATCAAAAAATCCTTTATTCAAAAAGCACATTTCTATACATGAATTGTGTCAAGTCAAGAATAACATAACTTTTCATTTGGCAAATTTACAGTACTAATTAATTAAGAGCTATACCGGTAATCTATATGTATAGGTACACTTTCTCCCCTACAACTACTTATACTCTACCTATAGGCTCTATGAATTAGAATGGTTGGTGTTTTTGGTCTCTAGGGACCTCAAAACGAAAAAGTAAATCCAGGTCTAGGTCTTACTATGGTAATAGCTTATTTGGGAAATTCGCTAAAATGAGTGAATACACTAAAATCTCACCCAACCAACCGTCCCTGGACACGTTCCAGGGAAAATAGGTTAAATTAAGTTAAATGCAGATGGAGGAGGGTCCTAATTCCCAACATGGGTCAATGCTTTGGCATCAAACTGTATGTATTTTAAACTAGAGTGTCTTTTTCTCGGATGGAAGCGCAGTAGGATACATAGCCTAGACCTATTTAAACCAACCATAAATAACTCATCTCCAGCCAGGCCCACTCAAGGTCATCCCCTACCGATACGTTTGCAATAAAATGCTTCAATTTTAGACAAAACTGTGTTAGGTAGTACCCTTGAAAGTAGAATCAAAAACAGAACTTATGCTAACCGCAGCACAGCTGACAGTCTATATTTATTCTATTTGTCTATGGTTTATCAACTTGTCTGTGCTTTTGGATTTTATTGTCTTGAGGTGTTCCTAGGACTAAGGCAGTTGGTACAAGCTACTAGCGAGTCATGAGGAAATTAGCTTCATAGTTAGGTGTGTAACATACTTGCGTGAAGGGACAAAGTGACTTAGGGCCTAGGCTAATTTGAATTTATGGTAAAAAGTTTTATTGATGAGTGACATAATCTAGACTATGCTATTTAGAAGAGTATATTTAGGCCTAGTGATATTTAGGTTGTATATCACTAGGCCTATAAAGCTTGTTATTGTAAAGGTGGCTGTGTGCCCAAATCTTAAGTTAACTAGCCTAGGCCTAAAGACCGATTGGTGATCATTGTGAATACCGGTACACCATAAATGTTATTTTGGTACTTTTGTATTATAAACCTACAGAGACCACCAAAATACAGCGTGCTAAAGCGGTTAGGTTAGATGGGGTTATCATAATTCTGTCATCATTTGATTCATAACGAAACGAGGAAAGTGCTAGCCTACAAACATTGTTATCATGTTCCTTTTATACATTTGCATTATAGCAGGCGTTATTGATTAGGTTAGTGGAAGACTGAGATAGGCCTACTTAAGCGTGAAGTGGCCAAAATCCTGATAAGTAGGTAATGTAGGATGTTAAGTTGAACTGATAGGATTGCTCAAGGTGAAGTTAGGCCTTTTACCTGGACTTCAAACGTGAAATACTTCTTCAGGTTTTTGATGATCATGACCAAAAATGGTAACTTGATGCCCAACGTTTTCTTGGGATCAGCCGGGCATGTGATAAATGTTGTGCTCACATTGGTGCCAACAATTTCCAGAACAAGTGATTGAATATCATTGTCAGTGATTCGCTTGATATGTCCATTGCGTACTTTTTTGTCCCATATTTGCAATGGCTTGCTTCCAATACTGTAGAGAATGGACAAAAAACCACTTTGGAAAGTGTTTTTAAACATGTTTTATAATTGAATAGGCTAGGTTTGTTTATATAACTTTGAACATTCAGCAAACATTCACTTAGTAAAATTAACGTATTACAAAAAATGCAAAACGGAAGACCCTTCTTGTTAAAATATCTACGGTAGAGGCCTAATAAATCTACACCGGTTAGTTTAGTTCACATAAAAAGAAATGCCATCCATCACTGGTTGCTAATGGTTACCAAAAACCAAAACACACTAAGGAGACATTACCAACCCTCACTACCGATCCGATACCGAACCGAAACCAATAATAAACCCTATAACCTAACTAACTAACAATAAGTAAAAGGCACCATAAACTGAAACAAACAAAAACAAAACGCGAACGCGAACTATCTTCTTCTTAACCACTTTCTCAACAAACAATGAATTCTTGTAACTTTTTTTCTCCTCATAGCCTTAAACTATGTCCTTGATATTTTTTACTCATGAGACTACTATGTCCTCAATTATCTTTTAATATTATTATAATCAAGTTCCTTTTCAGAAGAAAGAAACTATAACATTGCCATTTCTTTTCTGTTTGATTGGATTCATTTGCTGAATACATAGCCGATAAACCAAGGAGTATTACTTATATTTCCATAGTCAATGACATAACGTAGGTTTGCATGTATTTTTCTTTTAGTTGAAGTGGGGTTCGGGTCGGGATTCTAATTATTTAACGGATGGCCTGTTTTTTCTAGTGGGGCCTTGATCCAAGCCAAAGTTGCGACATAGAACAACTGCGGTGTAATAGGATCCTAGCAGTCGAGTTAAACTGAAATATCACAGTTTTTTTTTTTTTTAATATGATAGGTTACAAGAGTGAAACTATTTTATATTTTAATAACTGAATGCTTGCTGATTATAAATACTTTGTTTAATCATCAACTTATTTTAAACAGAGTACATATTTTATATACTATGTTATACATTTCTTTGCGTTAAAGATAATTTACTGCATTATTTAAACCATTATATGCAAACTTTGATTTTAGCTAATCAATAACGATTTTCAACACTTTCATGATATTTGGCAACGTTAACCCTATTCACAGAGAAGACAAAATTATATCATCTCTGTGAACTATTACGAAATAATCCGTATTCAAACACAGGAAAAACATGCTGAAGTCAACAAAACAACAATTTTCACACATACAAATATAAATACAGGAATAAAAATATCACCACTACTATATTCATAAAACTACTTTATTGTTGGATGGCAATGCGTGATTAATACAAAAATCACAACTTACTCGACTCAATTTTTTCATGTTTAATTTAAAAGAAAGGCCAAGTATAAAGAGTGCTTTCATGGTTAAGTTTGTACAATTACTTGTAGGTTTGACCATACAAAGTAGGTATTTTGAGCCAAGTATGAATGGAGATCAAATCTAATAATTTTTTCCCAAATCAAACAGTTCAAAATGTTGAATTTGATTCTTTTGAAATTTTTGAACAGCCGAGCAGCGTTACACTGAGCTATGCTGTGGCCTTGCTATGCTATATATGCTCGCGAGGCGGTTTGCCCCCAAGGTGACGTCACGTCGCGATGCGCAGAGGAGTATGTTTAATCTATGGCAGAACCAAGGCCGCCTTTAACTCCCCGATGTTACACTCTGTCATTTCCACCATCTCCTATTGAAAGAAAAATATTGTTATTGTTGTTGTTTTATGTAAACTTAACCTTCCCTTTCTTAACCGAAACCGTCTGCCGTCTACAAAATACACAATATTATATTACAAGTTAGATAGATTTATTTATTATAATGACATTAATTAGAGAAAAAATTGATAAACTAATAAATGAGGTAAAAGAGTTGAAACAAACACTAATAGAAAAGGAAGAAGAAATATTTAGGTTACAAAATGAAGTGGTAAGTCAATAATAATTATTGTTGTCAACCATAATTTCATAACCCTGAAGTAGGCCCAGGTTAAATTATTAGTTGGCTATGATGACAATTTATTTTAATTAACTCAAGTTCTTACTTGTCTGTTAATTTTCATGGTTGATAAAGACAGAATAGCCTAGATTAACTTGCAACAGAATAGATTCTTGGAAGAAAAAAATAATTTTTACAGTCTCAGTGGTAATTAGAATGGTAATCGCCTCCTCTAAAACAAGGCTATGGCTAGACAAAAACGCAATGCTGCAGTCCTGTCTTAAGTTCCTGAGATACTTTAGCACTTAATCATATGGAGTGTCGCGCAGTTCTATTTCTTTATTTATTTATTCCCAACAGCAAATAACTTGGCTGCACTTTACTTGAAGTCCTACACTCATTCGAATGAAAATATCGATCGATACATCGATTGCTTCATTCGATATAGGCTATCGTTTGATTAGTTAGGTAAGGTTAACCTAACCTAACTAACCAAACGATATATCGAATGAAACAATCGAATGAAAATATCGAATCGAAAAAAACAATCGAATGAGTGTAGGACGTCAAGTAAAGTGCAGCCAATAACTTAGCCAATACATTACATGAGATTACACAAAATAACATGCAATTTTACATTCCATTTTGTAGCCCCTGAACTGCGTAGTATAGACTAAACTATTACGTACCTCGTCTTGCAGTTCAAATATAGTGATTGAAGTCCACTAAATACATATGTTTCGCCACATATGGCATCCTCAAGTGGTTAACAGAAACATTTTATCCAAATTGGAATCGTCAACATGTTAGCCTACTTCAAATACAAAAATATTTACATAATGACACGTAAAATAAATTAACGAATGAAAAACATTTAAACATGTAGGCCTACAACATATAACCCGGCCAACAGCACTATTTCCTGGTAGTCCTAGGAATTCTGAGATTAATGGAGGCAAGTAAGTCCAAACAGTCAAGAGCTCCATTTATTAGTTTGCATAGGAAAGTCAGATCAGAGAGCTCACGACAAACCTCAAGGGAACAGAGTTAGAGATTTTTCATCAGGTCTTCTTCTGGAACTTCAGCAAAGGTCATGCCCATCGTCGATCCCTCAAGTCTTACAAAATCTTCTCTGGATCCTCTACAGTCTGACAATGTGATGAAGGTAGTACTTAAGGATTCCATACAACTGAGGCATATTCAAGAATAGGGTGTAGAAGTGTTTTGTAGAGAGTTATCATTGAGTGGATAATCCACTTCTTGCTGCACGTGATAACAGTCCAAGCAGCCTCCTAGCTCTCCTAGAAATGACATCAATATGCAGCTCAGGAGACAGAGATAGACTGAGGTGCACGCCTAGATCCTTGACAACCTGCACACATTGTAAGCAACCTTGTAAGCACACTTGGGATTTTATAATCAGCATGAAAAACAGTTTAAGTCCGATAGAAAGACTGCTATTTAGCTGCATCATGTTGTCTTCATACCATTTAGAGAGGCCATGCAGGGAACGTTGTAAAATTGTGCCATCATCATTGTTACTGATTTCTCTAAACAACATTACGTCGTCTGCAAACAGCAGGAAATTACTCTCAATAGCCTCGCCAATGTCACTAATAAATAGATTGAAAAGGTAGGATCCTAAAAGGGAGCCTTGAGGGACTACTGATGTACAGGGAAGGGTCAGAGCAACCTTCGCCAAACTTGACAATAGATCTTCCTGTTAGCTTTTGAGTCTATGTATTCACGTTCATTGTTACTGTTGTTACCATGCAATAGGCTGGCAAGTGCGGTGTTGCCTCATTGTTTGGCACGACCTTGTATTAGTGGAAGTTATGGAATGTTCCATGTAATGCATTATAAGATATATTTTTGGATTTGAATATTTATTAAGCTATGATGTAGGCCTTAGGTAATGTATTTCATCGTCAGGTTGTTATTGGTTTGTTTCAATAGTAAACTTTTGGAAAGACTGAGATTCCACGAAAAACGTATAAACTGAAACATTGTATATTTAAAATTAACTTTCAATATGAGACAGTATATTGGCATTGGCAATCAAGTTTACGAGATTTTTTGTTTGTTTTAGAAAGCAGAGAAGATGAAGCCCTCAGATCACATACTTTCAAACAAAGATATAGTTCGGTACTCAAGACAGATGATCATTCCTCAAATTGGAGTTCAAGGCAAGCTAGTCAACTTTATTTTCTGACCGTTAAGCAAGTTTGACTACTGTTTAGTTACAATCTGGATTATTTTTCATGTTATTTAATTTTCATTTGTTAAGCTTAGTTATTTCTCATTAAACTTATTAGCTACTTTCTACCATGGAGCTAGCTCACTTCAATATCTCATCATCCTTTAAAAAGTGATACAAAATAGGCTTTGCCTACTTTATTTGAAAATTCTTTCAGTAACAAATTCTTAATCGTTTAGTAGGCCTAGTTTTAACTTACTCTTAAGTGACTACTGAAGATTACGTTTTATAACTTCCCAATTTTTGCCAGGTCAGAAAAGGCTGAAGGACCTGTCAGTGCTGGTAGTGGGGGTGGGGGGCCTAGGATGTCCAGCTGCTACCTACCTGGCTGGAGCGGGGGTTGGTGAGTCATTCTCGTAAACTAGTTATTTTGACTGTGCTTAACTAAATGTGGAATACACAATAGCTACAAGTAGATTGTTTGAACAACAAAGCCTTTCAACATTTTTATATCCAAAAATTTATTTTTGTTGGAAGATAGGTGTACATATAGTTTCACTGTAAGTTAGTGGATCGGAAACCACATGAATAAAACAACAGTAACACTGGCTAGGTAGCTGATTGGTAGTAGTGATCGCCTAACAATCAAAAGGTCGCCAGTTTGATCCTGAGAAAAGTCACTATCTTCCTGATGGTTCGAAACTGGCTCTCTCTGATCATTGGGCTTTAAATCAATTATCCTAGTTGATATTAGTCAGTAACAAAGCTACACAGCATTCTACACTCATCCTTCATTCATATTTGGGTTAAAATACGCATCTAGGTGGCGTCCTGCATGTGTAAATGAGATCCTGCATGTGTTTATTTCAGCTCTATTGTATTGTTTTGACGTAGCCTATTGTCTGTTTGTACTGAATGGCCAAATAAATCATTTGAATCATTTGAGTCCCCATCTCAATTAATTGATAATGATACCATCTAGAGAATAACTGTAGCCAAGCTACTGTACCTCCTTTTTTAAATAAGCCAACAAAAAATCAAAAACATACAAAAAAAACCTGTAATGCACCTTTTGTTATTGCTACTGACATTTTTTCTTTGAGGATAACAGTCCTAACCATTTGTATATTTCATGTTTAGTAAGTTCTGTTAATCTATTTAAATTGTATTTGTAATTTTTAATTATTAGTTTCAACCATAAGAAATGAATAAAGAATGGAGAACTGTTGTTGTACATGTTCAATTTGGAAATTCTAAAAATCGTTAAAAGCACCGGTTCCGTAAATAATTAATCTTTATTATATTATTTTATAATTATGACTGATTGTGTCTATAATTGTGTCTATGTTAGCTTTGCATGCTGTAATTAACAGATCATGTGGATTGGACATTTTTTATGATTACCAACTTAATTGAATTTCATGTTTTAGGCCGCATCGGACTAGTTGATTATGACGTGGTCGAGGAAAACAACCTTCATCGCCAACTTCTGCATAATGAACACTTGGTAGGAAAGCCAAAAGTAGAATCAGCTGCAATTGCTTTGAAAAAGTACGCAGTCTTAGAGTACTTTGTTTATTTACAGCTTTCATAAAGCTTAAGTGGGCCTACATTTAAATCATATTTACGGTCCTTATTCATAATAGTTTTGTTTATTTTAAGTGAATTTAAGATTCAATAATAAGATTCAATAAGAATATGAATAACACATTGGTTTAAAAATATGAGTGGACAAAAAAATTTATCTTCAATACCTATTTGTTTAGGTTAAACAGTGAAATACAAGTGGATCAACATCAAGCACAGTTAAGCAGCAGCAACGCCCTTGACATGATTAAAGAATATGATGTGGTGGTTGACGCTAGTGATAATGTGGCGACCAGGTGAGTTTTTTCCTTAGTTTTGGTGCCAGTGGCATTTTTAGACAAAAGAAATGTACAGTGTATACTGAAATAACGCTTGTGCCGGGAATCGAACCCGTCGCTCCCTCAGTTAAGTCCAAAACGCTAACCACTAGGCTAGCAACTTGCCCCAATCTTTATTTATAGCATCATACATTTTTAGCTAATTCTGAGATAATTACTTCACGATTCTCACTTTTAGCGAATTTCCCATATAGGGAATAAGCTATTACCGTAGTACTCATGGTAAGACCTGTACGCGGGACCGATTTTTTTTTTCGTTTTGAGGTCCCTAGAGGCCAAAAACACCATTCCTTCAAATTCATATATATATATATATTTATATATTTATATATTTATATATTTATATATATATATATATATATGTCCGTTAGCACGATAACTCAAGCAAAAATGATCCGATTTTGATGAAATTTGGTACAAACGTGTAAACCTACGTTTATTCGAACGAGTTCGCGATCCAGCATGATCGGATCATGGGAACGGGGGTTTATGGGGGGTTTTATGGGGTAAAAATAGGTTTTTCCCATTTTTGACCCAAAAAACATAAAATTTTGCAATTTCTTTCCAAACCATTTTGTAGAGCTTAAAAAAACAAATAATTTAGTATATTGAAGCGTTATTATGCGCCTAATGGTTACGGAGAAAATTCCAAAAAATTGTAAATTTAAAATTCCCATGTTGTTCTTATGGAGAATAAGTAAACTGTTGTAGTCTGCTTGTTTATGAACATATTTTGATCAAATTTGGAAAATGTTTTTAGCGAATTTCCCATATAGGGAATAAGCTATTACCGTAGTACTCATGGTAAGACCTGTACGCGGGACCGATTTTTTTTTTCGTTTTGAGGTCCCTAGAGGCCAAAAACACCATTCCTTCAAATTCATATATATATATATATATTTATATATTTATATATTTATATATATATATATATATGTGTCCGTTAGCACGATAACTCAAGCAAAAATGATCCGATTTTGATGAAATTTGGTACAAACGTGTAAACCTACGTTTATTCGAACGAGTTCGCGATCCAGCATGATCGGATCATGGGAACGGGGGTTTATGGGGGGTTTTATGGGGTAAAAATAGGTTTTTCCCATTTTTGACCCAAAAAACATAAAATTTTGCAATTTCTTTCCAAACCATTTTGTAGAGCTTAAAAAAACAAATAATTTAGTATATTGAAGCGTTATTATGCGCCTAATGGTTACGGAGAAAATTCCAAAAAATTGTAAATTTAAAATTCCCATGTTGTTCTTATGGAGAATAAGTAAACTGTTGTAGTCTGCTTGTTTATGAACATATTTTGATCAAATTTGGAAAATGTTTTTATTTCTTACTAACTATTAACATTTTACAAAAAAAAAAAAAATAGTTTTACCCTCCCTGATGCAGCAAACCTAAGTACTTGTTAAACTAATTCTATTTAAATCGGGAATAAATGTTATATTTTTAAGTAGACATTTCAGTGTACATCCAATCAGTCAAATGGAAATTCGCTTAGTCTGCAGGTTTGCTGCGGCGGGGGTATTTTGTACTGTTACGTTGTGTAAAATATTTTATCCATGGCCCTTTTTTAAACTAGCCTTTTCAATTCAATTTTTAGAATAGAAAAGATTCCTTTTACCGCCATGTTTACTTACTTTACCAGCACTAGTGGGGTAAAGTTGTGGACCAACGGGGTTCAAGGCTTTAGAAAAAATAAGTAAAATTGTAATGCTTAATAATTGTAACTTATCAGCTGGAAACATCTAATTCATATGCTGATCTGTCGCCGGAAAGTCACACATTCTTTCCTTAACCTGGGGTGAACTAACGATTTGCTAAGCATCAGTTGCAGGAAGGTTTTGAAAGATGTTGAAAATCTCAGATAGTTCTAATTAAATAGACTACCTGCGTAGAAATAAATGCTCAAAGGGAATAATCTTTTACCACCTACATCAAAGAAACTTTACAATAAAATCTACCAGCAATTCATTAAATCATGTCGGCCTTAGTCAGCAACAAGACTACAAGATTGCGCCAGTCATTTCCATTCATACTTGGCTTAAAATACCTATATCTTAATGGTCGTCATTTCAATTAAAAAGTACTGAAGTAGGCCTATTAATCAATAATAAATTAAGAGATAGAGATTTACTAGTTCAATTTTGTTTATTTTAATTTAAGTATTATAAATCAAGTGGTTCACTACATAAGTAATGTTAATAAAAAGTATTTGACTTGTCCCAGGAAAAAGTAAAAGAAAAAAAAGAGTACCGGTATAGGTTTTGAAGTTTTACAAAACGTATTAAAAAACGGCTGTAGGTAAAGCAGCATTGTAAGCAACTAGTATGAACTACACTCGTAGAAGATTTTACTTGTGTAGTGAAGACTACGAGATCGTTGCGTAAATTACTAGGCTCAGTGGGTAGCCTGACATACTATGAATCCAAGGCAGCCATTCCGTGGGCTCACATCCTGTTGTCGCCACTAATATTGATCAGTCTGTTCATTTATGTACTGTACTAGCTCACCCCCAGCTTTGCTTTATATTTTCCACGAACAGCTAGATGCTCATGTAGACAGCAAATTTCAAGATGAAAAAAGTTGTCAACGAAATTAAGTATATGTCTATACATTTTTTAATCAGGTAAAGTAAGTTTGCAAATGGGCCCAAAAGAATATTTGAGAAGAACAAAGGTGTTAGTCCTTCGTTTGCAGTTTGGCGTTTGTTTGTCACAGGTACCTGGTGAGCGACGCGTGTGTCCTTGCAGATCGTCCGCTGGTGTCAGGCAGTGCGCTGCAGATGGAAGGACAGCTGACCGTCTACAATCACGCAGGAGGTCCGTGTTACCGGTGTCTCTACCCCCAGCCACCCCCTCCACACACTGTCACCAACTGCAGCGATGCTGGAGTCCTGGGTGCAGGTAGGTTATTCAGGAACAGTCAGAAATAGAACAATCTCTGTAATCAGTGTTGTGGGAAATGCCATAGAACTTATTTGTTTATGTTGCAATTTCTTAAACTAGATTCTCATGAGACAGAGATGCACACTTGGGTGCATATGTTTAGCTCAATATGAATGCTAGGTGAGTGTAGAATGGAGTGAGATGCTCCGTGTAGCTTTGTTACTGACTAAGACCACCTGTTTCATTAGTCAGGACCATTTATTAAAATCCCAGTGGTCAAGGACAACTGGGTCCAAGTTCCAACCATCTAAAAGCTACTCACTCAGGATCGAACCAGTGATCTTTTGATTACCAGGCGAGCACTATAACCACTCGTCTACCCATCTTATGTTAAAATTAGAACTATGGTACAAAGATTAAAATGGTGGATCTTTTTTACAAGTTTAATGATAACAATGAAACCAAAACATTTTATCACTAGAAATTAGACACTGAGTCTACTGCTGCCGCTAGTACTCTTTTGCTATGATAGCGCTTGTGTGTTTTGTGTTGTGGAATTTCTTTACAGTAGAACTTCGATAATAAGACTATCATCTAGATTTTTAAATAAGACTTGTTTTGTTATCAAGGTTGACTTCTTATCGAGGCTTGCAGTAACATTTGATTAACTTAATTAAGTAAGGGTAAAATAAAAATTCTAGGGGATTTGATAGTGATACTTGATAGTTATCGAGGGCGACTTGTTTGTTTGAAAATGAATGGAGTCAGGACAGGTGTGTAAATAAATCTAAAAGAGAAATTGCCTCATTAGCTTTTTAACTTTTGGTTTTTTCCGACTCTTGAAATAACAACCAAGTTTTGAGGTTTTTTTATGCCAAACTTTGCCTAGTAAATGTAAGCAAATTATGTGTCAGAAAAATTTTGTTTTCATGATTTATTTAGCCCTCACCCTCAACCCCACCACCCCCATAAGAGTATCATGTCCATAAGACTAATCAGGTATTTTTCTTGTGTAATTGTGAATACTAAAAAATAAATAAATAAGAGTAATTTGTAGCATTGTCAGTATGAAAATAGTAGATAACTATAACCATAAAAACATGTAATCCAGTTCCAGGTGTAATCGGCACTCTACAGGCCCTGGAGGTAGTGAAGATTGCCCTGAAGATGCCCGGAGTGTTGAGTTCAAGGCTGTTGTTATTTGACGGGGAAGATTGTGTGTTTCGCAACATCAAGTTGAGGCAGAAACGTGAGGATTGTGCAGTGTGTGGAAAAAACCCTTCTATCCATCAGCTGGTGGACTACGAGCAGTTTTGTGGAGCTAAGGCAAACGATAAGGTAAAAAGCTCATGTCAGAAAACGGAATAGACTAACCACAGAATTATTGGCTTCGAATAATTTCGGAACCGACTAACTCGAGATCTTTGAGTGAAGGAACTTGTTATCTAGCCTCCTTCTTCTACCAGTCATTAATGAATTTGGACTGTCAAGAGTATAATCAACAACTGTTTTAAAAGACAGTTAAGGTCATGAAGATCATTGATTATTTAATGTGTTATTTGGCTGTGAATCACACGTTTTCTGATATGTTGCATTCAATGGAACATCCCATTGAATCCCATTGAATCATTTGGTCCCATTGAATGCAACATATCAGAAAACGTGTGATTCACAGCCAAATAACACATTAAATAATCGATGATCTTCATGACCTTAACTGTCTTTTAAAACAGTTGTTGATTATACTCTTGACAGTCCAAATTCATTAATGACTGGTAGAAGAAGGAGGCTAGATAACAAGTTCCTTCGCTCAAAGATCTCGAGTTAATCGGTATTCCATTTTCAATTTGGCATTCATTCCAATTGACCTTTTATCCAAGATATATGGTTTGTAAAGTTTAAAAACTGCTCTCAATAATTTAAGCCAACTGTTATTGCTAGATGAGTGTGTGTTTAAATTCATTTTGTTCAAACTTCAAATCAATGAGAAAACATCCTTATATGTGTTCACAGTTCAAGTAAACATAAAAATAATGTCTAGGAGTGGAGTTTGTCAATATTGTCGGATGAGGAGAGAATCTTGCCACAAGAGTTACACAATGTAATGCAGTCCAAGCCTTACATTGTTGTGGATGTCCGTCAGCCGCTTGAGTACGAGATGTGTCATATTCCAAACTCCGTCAACATTCCACTTCCCACCATCACTCGGAATGTGACCCTTATTAAGGCTCTTACTGAACCTGCAGGAGATTCCGTCTTAGGTGAGGATTTCTGTATGTTTCTATGCCAGACAAACATCTAATTTTAACCTTTCGGAAGAATGATGAAAGACCCCTTTACTTTTCTCCTATTAATAGGTAGAAAACTTGATTAATTATTACTTATTTTTAGCTATATAGATGGAACCCCTCACATCTGAAAATGATGGGACTTATATGTCAAATATCGGGAGAAGCATATCTTGCGGTCTCGGCTACACTAGTAATCGCCTACCACGATTGTAACAATATCCGTGAGCATATCATGTGGTCTCGGCGGCACTGATAATTTTCTCACTCAACCACGCAGGGCCGATTTACCGAATAGGCACGGTAGGCACGTGCCTAGGGCGCGAGGCAATTGTCTTTTTTGGGGGGCGCCAAAAATTTGGAAAATAAAAAAATTGGTGGTTGTTTGCATGCGATTGCGGTAAACTTCTGATAATCCCTCGCGGCCGTGTAGACATCGTAATAGTCTCCCGCGTTTGTGGCGAGATTCTTACTATTTTCAGCAGTCAGGTCGTTTAGACATATTTATCGTCTTCCATGATCGAAGCAATATATGAGCATGTCCCGCGGTCGTGAGGAGATTATCATCGTCTACCGCGAATGAGGCAAAATTATGATCTTTTCCCGCGGTCGTAATGTCCCGGGACATTATCTTCGTCTTGCGCGACCACCCCTCGCGGACGTGAAGACATCATTATATCGTTCCCCGCGGTCGTGTGAACATATTAATCGCCTCCCACGATTGTGACAAAATGGTGAGGATGCGGAATACTATCCCCCAGAAAACTACCCCCCCAGGTGAAACGTGACGTCACAAAATCTGCTAACTAACCAATATGGAAGCCGTGTCCGCGACTGGAATACTACCCCCCCCCAGACAAATCATGCTATTTAATTCTAATTTTAATTCGAGTAATTCCATTGGATAATAGAAAAGTCATGTGTTGAATATAAAACAGAATTTCGAAATGTTACAGCAAGTTTGGTTGGTTAGGTTAGGTTAGATTAGAACTGTTTGACAACTAAATTTGAGTGTCCGTGACTGGAAAACTGCCCCCCCGGTCTCTGACGTCAATATGACGTAGGAACCTGTTTGGGGGGGGGCAGTCTTCCGGCGACCCAAAATGGTAATCATCTCCCTCGGTCTTGTGGAGATCATCATCCTCTTCCGCAAATTAGGCAAATTACTGAACTTTTCCCGCGATCGTGTGGCCATTATTATCGTTTTCCGTGATCGCGGCAATATTCTGATCATCCCTCGCGGCCGTGTAGAAATCGTAATCGTCTCCTGCGATTGTGGAAAAATTTTAATCATCCCCTGTGGACATATGGAGATCATCGTCTTCCGTGAATGAGGCAAAATTCTGATTTTTTCCCGCGGTCATGTGGACATTATCATTGTCTTGCGCGATCGTGGCATAATTCCGATCGTCCCTCGCGGCCGTGTAAATCATTATTGTATCTCCCGCGGTCCTGTAGACATCGTAACCGTCTCCCGCGGTCGTGTATACATGGTAATCGTCTCCCGCGATTGCAGCAAAATGTTAATCATGTTCCGCAGTTGTGTGGAGATCATCATCGTCTTCCGCGATCGCGGTAAAATTCTTGCTGTTTCGCGCGGTCGTGTGGACATTATTATCGTCTTCTGTGATCGTGGCAATATTCTGAATATCTCGCGAGTGTAGACATATTATCGTCTCCCGCGGTCACGGAAACTGTTGTCATGCGCGATCACGGTTATTTGAAAACTCCAGGTAGAAATACAAAATTCACACATAATTCCCGGTTCATAAAATTCCCGCATGATTCCCGGATTTCCCGGTCGGTGGACACCCTTTGCAAAGGGGCGCTACTATTAGTTGTGCCTAGGGCGCTAACAGGGTCAAAAACGGGCCTGCAACCACGGCGACACTTGTGAGCATATTTTGCAGTTTTGGCGACATGGGCCTTCCCTGACAACCCTAGTGAGCACATATTGCTGTCTTGATGACAGCGGTGTCTGCCACAATTACGGACACACACTTGCGTGATTAGCCTTTCGGTGAACAAAACGCTCCCGGCGTTTTAGCCTCAGACAGGAATCAAGTAGGCCTAGACGTTTGATCACTAGGTCAGATATCTTGTGGAGTTGGTTAAGCCGAGGTCGGATATGAGGAGATCTACTGTACTATAGATGCGTGATCTTGTATAAGTCTTGGGCCTGAGAGAAAGGTAAGCAGCGATTCAATCAGCAAAGGACAAGAGTTATTTCATCCAGGACAGCTACTTTTGTTGTATTAAGCCTATGTTAGTGTACAAGGTATCAACATTATTCCTGTGGTTTAATGTATACATGGTATTAAAATTATTCAAAGTTATATAATTTATACATAAATGTTATGAATTTTTAACGTTTTGACTCTGAAGAGCAAAGCTATAGCTGCAGCGTACTATAGTTCGGCCGCTTAGAAAACGACCTGCGCGCTAATGCTAAACCAATGCTGGAGGAGGTCGTTTTCTAAGCGGCCGACCTATAGTACTGTGATCTCTCCAGACTAACTAACTACATGATCTTTATAATTGCCCCCCATCATTGTTTTGTTCTTGTACACAGTATTAATATAGAACTGGCTGCATTAGTTAGTGTATGTTCAGCATATCTTGTGTCAACATAGCACACAACAACCCTATAGACAGATGCTAGATTATTGGACGCATCTATCGGTTTCTTTAATGTGTCAGATTATCGGATGACAGATTAGCGTAGCTGTATCAATATTCTAGTCCTATCAAGGAGCAAGAAGCTTGAGCAAAACTGGTGTTTACCACAGGATATTATTAGTTTGAAATAGTGCAAAAAGCACAAAATTTATCTTATAAAATTTTCATCTTCTACAATATTGCCTTGTTTTACATTAGTTCAATGTGTTTGCAGTGTGCATGGTTTGTAGAAGAGGCAACGATTCCCAGCTGGCTGTGAGAGATTTGAAGGCAGTTTTGGATACCTCGTCAATAATACTGAAGGATCTGAAGGGTGGACTGCATGCCTGGTCTACCGATGTCGACCCCAACTTCCCTATCTACTGATGCTAAGCTGGGCTGTGTTAATAAATAAATATGTATATAATAATCAGTATCAGCAAACTGACACAAACCTTCTTCCTTTACCTTTGCATTATGATTGAGCATCCTACTACTTTTATAAGAAAAATAAAATATTAAAACTATTAATACTGGGTAGACAGAGGGGGTTTAATATGGGAGTTTCTGGGGAAAATAACTAATATTGCGACAACTTTTAAACCGTAATTTTGATAGCATTATGAGTTATGCCATTTTTCCATAGTTGTAAGTTTTGATCAGTATTCGTTAAAAGATAGGCCAGCTGATGTGTGTGTGTGTGTGAGAGAGAGTATGAGGTCCATACTCAATGGAGAGAGTCACAATCCATATGGCCAACAATACAAATTAAAAATGTAAACATTCTTTTTCAAGTTCATTCAGTTCATTGCCTCCTCACATATATATCATTATTTGTGTAGCATCGTTCTCGTTCATTTCTCTCTCTTATTTTGTCTTTGTTTTATCTACTCTTTCTTTTATGCACGTCCTTAACCCTTTTGATTTGATTGCAAATTGTGTGTACTTAAATTATACGGACATCTCGACATTGAAAATATCTACTAGGCGGGGCTACTTGAAACCAGTGAAACGCATGACCATACAAAATTCTACCAGATCTTAGATTCTTAAATCCAAGACTCCTAGACCTTCACTGTGGTAACTAACTGAAGTGTAACTTAACTAATAAAAGCCCATTTTAAACCAAAATTAAATTCAAGATCCCCTCTAATATCTACTAGTGTACATGTTGCTCGAATTTGAGCAATTGCAAAGTATTACAGGAGTTATTTCAAATAAAAGAGTCAACTCAAGATTACCGTTGCGTAACTCAGACCATGTTTACCTTCGTTATTGATAAACATGAAGCATTCCGGCCGGTTTTCTCCCTCTCAAAATGCCTCGCTGTACAGGCAACACAGGTCATTGATAGAGGGCCAATTGAGAACGAAAAGTTGTTTTGGGGTAGTGTTAGGGCGCATTTTTAACCTAATAGTTTAGCCTATTACGTGTCAGTCGTTACCACGATTACGCCTCCTGTCTATTTTTTGTTGTCGTAGCAACGGAGGCATTTAAAAGAAAAAACAACAAATAAACAAATTATAGCTACACAAAACAACGATAAATTCACAAATTTAAGTTACAATCATACTAACACGATCTGTCATAGCGACACAAAACAGCGATAAATACACAAATTTAAGATACAACCATAATAAATAAATGTAAATAATGTAAATGAATGTAAATAAATAGAGTAATAGCTATTTACCTTACAAGTGTAGTAAGAGCGTTTTTACATCACGCAGGTGAAGGTTGTGCAACGAGCGAAAGCGAGTTGCATAATTTACCTAAGTGATGTAAACAAGCTCTTGCGTAACGTGTAACGTACAAGATTTTACCTGACCCGACAATATACAGGAGGTTACGAACAATATTAATCATTATCCATTTCACTCATCTTCTAACAGTAACGTTCATTTACAAACAAAAGCTAGGTTAGGAAAATTCTTCAAAACAACAATAAAATTCAAGAGCACAGCTGATTTCTAGCGTTGAACGTCGTTGGCTCCATAGAGGTATATTTTTTAAGTTAATCACTCAATGTTATTTAAATGGGTTTCATTACATCTCCGAGTGAGTTTTTGATACTTTACATCACTCGAGAAGTAAGGAAGTTGTATACATCACGCTTGGGATAGAGAAGTTTCGGTGGGGCACACGGGAGGGACTAAGGCTAACATATCTTGTAGTGTCAGCGTTCGCCGCTAGAACTGCTAAGTTGAAAAAATTTAAATTATTTTTTTATTATTTTTAGTTATAAAATTAACTTTTTAATTATAAAATTTTGTTTTAAAAATTATAAAATTAATTTTTATCTTATAATTAAACTGTCATAACATAACCTAACCAACCAGACTTGCTGATAATATAAAAACTATATAAGTTAAGATAACAATCTAATTAATGATTACTTATAATTTTTAATTATTATAAAATTAATTTTAAAATTTAGTTTTATAAAATTAAACTGTCATAACCTAACCTAACCAACCAAACTTGCTGATATGAAAAATTTGTTGACAAAAAGTTAGTGCTGCCAGCGGGATTTGAACCCGGGACCTCCTGACCACCAATGCGAAACGCTACCAACTATGCCACGAACGCCGCTGAAATCACATTGTTTCGTTACGGTAATCGTGTCGCCTCAAGAGAAGACATTAGCCACTAGAGATATGAGGTCACTACACCTAAGCCTTAGTCCCTCCCATGTGCCCATTCCGGGAAGTTTAACATGGCGGGTTAGGTAAATAAATGTACTAAATGCAATTCATTGAATTGAAAAATAAATAACAGCAATTAAATTATACAGCTGATCAAAATGTAAACAATTATGTTCTTCATAAGGATAACATGGGAACTTTCAAAGCCACTGGGGCAGAGCCCAAGGGACTTAAAAAAAATGTAAGGCCAGTTTGCAAATCTACGTGACGCGCTCTTTCCAATGAGACGTCAATGGATAAAATCGGTTAAGAAATGGCGGAGGAGTTCAACCGACAAAGTTTCATGTAGCGTATTAATTATATAGATTTTCATATTTGAATTTTGTGTATGTTTACTAGTTCTTAATGTATAAATTTGTTTTTATTGAAAATGAAAGTTTTTATTATTTAGTTTAAAACAATATTAATCATATAATTAATTACATATTTAAAATCCTTCGAGCGGTTTTTGTAAAAATTAGTTTTTCTTTAATTTCATGAGTTTTTATGGGAAAATCTCTATTAAAGTTTCAAATTTAAAGAGAATAAAAAAACGTTTGGAGGTACTTAGATCAGTATGTTAGTACCCAACCCATTAAACCACAGTGTAGTCTTTAAGCTCTGAACACATGCCACACACACAGACATCACTTCAAAAACCACTTTTTTGGGTTCGGATGGAACCAAAACGGGAATTTCCATCCTTAACCCTTAACTTTGAAATATAGAATCAATTATACATTTACAGTAGACTCTCAGTAATCCGGCAGATATAGGACCGTGATACTGCCGGATTAGTGAAAATGGCGGACTACTGGAATGTTATCAATAATAACACTTAAAATGCAATTAAAACATGTCTCAGAAAACATTTCTGCTATCGGAAACCGCTATTGCACGATCGAGCTTGACGACGATGACGTTTCCGTAATCGTGGGAGACGATGATAACATCTACACAGCCGCGGGAGATAATCATGATTTTACCATGATCGTTCATGACAACGATGACGTTTCTGTGATCGCGGGAGGCGATGATAACGTCTACACGTCCGTGATTTTTCCGCGATCGCGCATGACGACGATGACGTTTCCGTGACCGCGGGAGTAGACAATAAAGTTGACACGGCCGCAGGAGATGATAAAATTTTTGCTGCGACCGCGGAAGATGTTGATGATTTTGCCGCGATCGCGCAAGACGACGATGACGTTTTGTGACCGCGGGAGGCGATGATAACGTCTATACGTCCGCGGGAGATGTTCATGATTTTGCTGCGATCGTGCAAGACGACGATGACGTTTTCATGACCGCGGGAGGGAATGATGATTTCCACATGGCCGCAGGAGATAATCAGAATTTTGCCTGTAACTGCGGAAGACCTCCCGTCAAGAGACGCCGCCGGATTACTGCAGTGCCGGAGTGGTGCAGGGCTGGATTAGAGAGGGTCTACTGTACTTATGTATAGGGAAGTAAATATATATATTTTATATATAGTTCAATCGCTTTCAAACACACAACTAACAATTTGGATTTATTTTCTTTCAAAAACTTGCCACCAATTCCCCTTATCAGAGGAGCTAAGCTGCATTTAAAAACTAAAAATAAACAAACAACACTTTATAAAAAACATACTTTTAATAAAAATTTATACACATCACAGTATGAGTAAAAAATTTGTCACTTAAAATATAGTCTGGTTGGAATTTAAGGTGCTCTGCTGTTCTCGAGGCAAGCAATCTTGTTGGAGTAAGAGAGAGCTGTCTTTGACTGTGTCTGTCTGTTGAGGAAACTGCAGATGTACTGAAAAACAAATTACAATAGATGTAGACATATTCAATCAATGTAACACAAAGCAATCATTGACTTCTGTATACTTTTTGGCCCAGCAATAAAAATATGTATATTTAGTGATGTGGGTCGGCTAAATACCCAGTGGGTAGGTAAATATAAATTGGGTATTTACCCGGGTTTTTACCCCAGGCCCGGGTAAATACCCAAAAACTGGGTATTTATAATTTTTATTAAAGTTAAAGAAGATTTAGATGTTTTTTTTGCAATTATTACCCTGTAAGGATAGTAAAATGATGATAAAATGTGTTAAACAAAATTTCATATGGTCACTACTAGCATTTTACTTATGGGTATAATCGCCATAAATACCCAGGTCTGAGCATAAAGCATTATCGGCATAATACCCTGGTCACATGGTTGCACTGGTCCTGACTCCTTATGATTTTGTAATTTCTATGATAGATAAATGAATTTATTTTATTGGAAGTGAAGAAAAATAATTTGTAAAGTAATAATTATTATTTAGAAAGAATGACAGGAAGATTTAACCTAGTAGTGGCCTATGTGTAAACAACTTATGAAAATAATTAAAATTCAATCTGTGGGATATGGCAGGATTTAATAATATTTTTGTTCTAGATCTTTTGTTATCAATGGTATCAAAATAAAAAAACCTAATTTCATAAACTTGTGATACAAAACATTTGAATCTATAGCACAATAAATCTTTCAAAATTATATTAAGTTAGACCAAAAAACAGGAGGTTTATCCAAATATATTATTGTTTCCAACTAAGCGGTAACACAGAAAAGTTTAATTACTTTTAGTATTCTGCCATTCTGCCTATGTCAATCAGGTTTAGGTCTGTCTAGCCTTCCAAGCCATTTATACAATAGAAATTTTAACTATCATAATTAAATAACAGTAAAAGTAGGTTTAGGTTCACTATTTCTCTGATGAGGTGTTGTCTTGATTTCATTTCATAGGGAGTGTTTAGTTTCTAGCATTCTCAATCAAAGGTAGCATCACAGGCTTGTTTTATTACTGCACACCTGCACACCCAGCCTGTTTATGTTATGGTTATAAATTTATAAAATGATAAAAATTGAAATAGCCACAGCCTTTTTTAATATCCTATTTTTTAGTATGTTAAATTTAACTGATGTTACTCGATTTAAGACACGAAACCCCATGCTTATTAAGAAACTTTATGTATTATTTACAAAAAAAGTGCTAAATCATTAAATAAAAGGTACTATCAAAGCTTCAAGTTACTGTAAAAGGTGTTATAGGCTATCCTAATTTATCATGTAGTGATAACAATAACATATTTAGGGGTAAATATAAACAAATTTAAATTGATTTCATAAATACCCAAAATACCCGGGTATTTATGGATTTTGGGTATTTACCCCGAGTTTTAAATACCCAGGTATTTTACATCACTATGTATATTTTAAATTATTTTTCAAATATTATTGTTCAATAATATTATTTATTAATATTGTAATAGTATATTACGTTACTAGTCCTGAAAATAAGTGTTTACCGGACGAGTAAACACATTTTGGACGAGTGACGTACGATAGTTTTACGCCATACTACTAAATCCGTTCAACTCCTTTTATATCACCACCAACTAAAGGACTAAAAACCACTAGTCATAACCTCTAAGAGAGGTTATGTTTTTGTTATAACCACTCATTGCCACCCAAATACAGTATAATCAGCTGATTGGTGTCCGGTAAAACTCATTACAGTACAGTAGTACGCAATGAAACCCCATTTGATTAAGCTGGCGACAAACAGCTGTTTTCTGGAATAAATCCTTGCATGGGAAGTTCGCCAAAATAGTGAAGTGTGGCGTGAATTCAGTTTTGGTAAAGGCTGACTGGGTCATCCTAGTCTTTCTGCTACGTAAGCAAGTTACTAAAGGCACATTCAAAAATCAAAACACTACATTCAGTTTCTAAAAGTGGATTTTAGCATGTGTTCCTGTTGGAAAAGAAAGGTGATTTAAAAACTAACCTGTCCAGCACTGATAAGCGCAGGCAGATCAATACCAGTGTTTATGCCTAGGCCGTGCAGCATGTACACGAGGTCTTCAGTGGCTACGTTGCCAGACGCTCCTCGAGCATACGGACAACCTCCCAGACCCGACACTGACGCATCCACTACGCTCACTCCCATCTGACAATGACGGAAACAGGGATTATTATAATAGTATAAAACCACGATTTATTGCACTAAAATAATGAAAAATGTATCCATCATCATAAAGATATAAAATACCCCTGCCGCAGCAAACCTGCAGACTAAGCAAATTTCAACTTGTCTCATTACATTTTCACTAAAATGTTTCCATAAATAAGATATATTTATTCCCTATTTAAATAACATTAGATTTAACAAGTGCTTAGGTTTGCTGCTACGGGGAAGGTAAAAAGTGTTTTTTGACCATACGTCAATAGTATAGGATGAAATTAATAAATTTGCCAAATTTTATCAATATATATCCATAAACAAGTAAACTACAACAATTTTCATTTTCTCCATAAGAATAACATGGGAATTTTAAATTACACTATTTTTGAATTTTCTCCGTGACCTTTAGGCATACAACAGCGCTTCAATATACAAAATTAATTATTTTTTTAAGCTCTACAAAACGGTTTAGAAAGAAATTGCAAAATTTTTTGTTTTCAGGTTCAAAAATGGGAAATCCCCATTTTTACCCCATAAAACCCCGTTCCCATGGTCCGATTATGCTGGATCGCGAACTCGTTCGAATAAACATAGGTTTACACGTTTGTACCAAATTTCATCAAAATCGGATCATTTTTGCTCGAGTTTTCGCGCTAACGGACACATAGGCATATATATATATATATATATATGAATTTGAATGGATGGTGTTTTTGGCCTCTAGGGACCTCAAAATGAAAAATTAAATTGGTCCCGGGTCCAGGTTTTACCATGAGTACTACGGTAATAGCTTATTCCCTATATGGGAAATTCGCTAAAACCTGGCTTACCAAATTATAAATTTTCCAATTAAGTTCTACAGTTAGCACATGATAATGTTGACACTGTTTTGTTTTTTGTTTTAATGTAACAGAACATAAGGGCCTTGGGTTTTCAGGATAGTAGGCTTACCTGAATGGGAAAGGGTATAAACTGGTACAAAAAACACAAACATTTACAGTATACACCAAACATTAGAATATTTCACTGTCACTGGCAGCATTTTCAACTAAGGAATGTACAAGCTGAATAAAACTCCCTTCTCTAGTTGAAAACACTGTCAGTGACAGTGAAACATTCTTATGTCTAGTTTATAGTGTAAAGTTGTGTTTCTTGTGCTACTTGGAACTCCTGTTTGTATGTAACTTATGTGTTAAGGTGGGATAAACTTGAATGAGTTCGCGAACCAGCTTTATCGGACCGTGGGATCAGAGTATTATGGGGGGTTTTATGGGTAAAAAATTGGTTTTTTTTCATTTTTGACTCTCAAAACACAATTTCTAAATTTCTCTCTAGACCTTTTTAAAGAGCTTAAAAAACAAATAATTTAGTATATCAAAGTGTTTTTGTACAGTTATTGGTACTGGAGAAAATTAAAAAAATTGTAAATTTAAAATTCTCATATTTTTCTTATAGAGAATATTGTAAAATGTTGTAGTTTGCTTGTTTATGGATATACTAGCTGTACCCGCGGGCTTTGCCCCGTTTAACTTCACAAGTGAGCTCGTTCGCATGGCTCAATCACGTCCTGGTTGAAGTTCGTTCTCTAGTCATAAATTGAAGTTTCTGTAGTCATAAATTTAAAAAAATAATAATGCTGCACCCTGTTGGTAATCCTTGTAACTTTAATGCTATTGAATATCATAGAACAGAACCAACTTTTTAAATTGAAACAGCTGTTAAGAAATTCCTTTTAAATATGAAAAATCATAAGGTTAACATGGGAAACTCCAGAGCCACTGGGGCGGAGCCCGAAAGCCCGATCAGAATAAAAACTACTTAGTTTTCCTATTTAATGCCCAAAGAATCGGAAGTGGGAGAATTAGTGATGAGTGAGTGAGTGAGTCAGTCAGTGAGGGCTTTGCCTTTTATATATTTAGATTTTTATCAGACTTGGCAAATTTATTTATTTTATACTAAGCAATTAATACTTTAGGTACTCGTTAAACCTAATGTTATTTAAATAGATTTAATTGAAAATCAATTCAGAGAAATGGAAATTCGCTTAGTCGGCAGGTTTGCTGCGGCGGGGGTATTTATTCAAGGTGGGATTATCCTCTACAATTCCTGAACAGTAAATTGCCTACAATAAATTGATTTAATAAAGTAATCAACAATTAAAAATGTTTTTCTATATCTATTTCTTGGCTAATCATACTATATTAAATAGGTCTACATAAAACTTCTACTTCACAACACAGGCATATATGTAGACTAAATGATTGTTGTGGTTGAATATATACAATTAATTAGTCATGAAGAACTAAACACAGATCATCTCACACTATGCTATACTCACCCTTCACTCATATATATATATTAATTAAAAATATGCATCAAGGTGGTGTCCCCTTCTCAAATGATTGATAACTGATTGATAAAACTTTAAATTTTCCATCGTATTTGAATCATCTAACAATACAACACTTGACAACTTACCTGCAATGCGACCAAGATGTTAGGCAAGGCCTGGCCATAAGTATCGTGGCAGTGCACTGCGATCTGCCTGCTGTCCACGGTTGCCAACACGACCTCTAGCATGCGCCTCATGCTGCCAAGGGTGCCAACACCGATAGTATCCCCTAGCGACACCTCGTAACAGCCCATATCTATCATCTCCTGCACCACCTGTGAAAGTTTATGGTGTCAAGTATAGTCTTGTAGGAAACAAACCAAGACTAACTTACATGTATTTGTTAAGGTCTTTTAAATTATAATTATTAGGTGTTGCAGTAGGTCAGCTGTAGTGGGGCGGGAATGGCATTCCCAATATTTTTTCACAAAAAATCCTATATATTAATAGGCAAACGGTGTTTTTTTTCCAAACGATGGTGAGTGCTTGAAAATTTTCGACTACCGTACCACCACTAGTCTGCCTAACCCAATAATAAATAAAACATAGAGGTAATGAGGAAGACCCGCAACAAACTCGAACAAAAAGGCTAAGAGCTTAACCTGGTAATAATCCAAACTCATACAAAAAAGTTTATAATATGACATAATAATATGGCAGTAGATATATTATATTCCTCAGCTTTGAAATTGGAGACTTATACATAGCTCTGCTGACATGGCCTTGGGTATGCTTGTCTGGGTTGGTAGCTAATGTACAGAGCTCAGCTTGGATGAGAGTTGATGTTAGCGCTGCCGACACCGCCTTGCCTTGGGTACACCTTTAGAGACTTGGTTGGGAGTAAAAAATAAGACTGAAGTAAAAGAAAAGGTGTAATAATGAATCAAAAAACAAAGTTGTACACTGTCGTAACACTAGTATTTTACTCAACATCTTAAATACCCCATCTTAAATAATTGATAATTGATAATTGATAACATGACAATATCGTTTTTGAATATTTACAAAGGTTACACTTTCATAGCTTTTGAAAAAAACACAAAGCTAACATTGTTATACAAGTTTAATAAAACTACAATATTCTAGTTAATCCGTTATATTTTATACAAATACACAAAAAACAAAGTTTACAGAACCAAAATTTCAACGTTTGAAACCTAACAAAAAATCACAATCTTAAAGTTAATGTCTTTTATTTTTTTACAAATAGCCTACTTGGAAAACGAGATAAGCCTAACTACAACAAAAAGTAAAAGAAAAACACTGAACAAACAACCACAAGTATAGAGTATATTTGACCCGAAATGACAAGATCATTTACAAAGTTTACACAACGCTAACATTGTTTTACATGTTTGAAAAGAAATAACAATTCAAATATTCTAGTTAATCCGTTATATTCATACATATACACGGAAAACAAAGTTGACAGACCAAAAATTTACTGAGCATAAAAAAATGTAATATTCAAGTTAATCCGTTGTAATTTTTAACAAATACTTGGAAAACAAGATGTAAAAAAGTTAAACCGTTAAAACACTGAAAAAACATACATGAATCTAATAAGGCAGGTAAATTTTGACTTGCTCGAAATAGTTGACAATTGATTCGTTGCTATCACTGTCGTTGTCCCAATCAAGAATAGTCAAGAATAGTCATTTATTCAGTCTTTAAACAATACATTATTGAATGAATGAATGAAAGAATGAAATGATGTTTATTTCCCAACTAAAAAAGTACAATTCATGGTATTTTACAGAATAAATTACTTAGCCTAATCCTTGTCTTAAAAATACTTACAAAATAATATTATAACTAATGGCACAAAGAGATAAAAAAAAAAATACCTTATCAACTTAAATGGAAATGTGTCTACATAGGCAGGGCCTGTGCGTAGACATGAGTTGCGGGTAATTTGTTTAGTGAATGGGAATTTTTTTTTTGTGATTGTTATCACGTCTGAAAATAAATGTTGGTTATTGTAATTGACATCGTCATTATTATTGTAAAGATATAAGATGCAATACTTATAATTAAAAAATTTGACATGAAAATTCCAAAATATAGGCTGCCCTTAGTTTAACATTTAACAGGTTTAAAATATTTTTTTAAAAAAATAGGCAAACATAACAAACTTAAATTATGAAAAATAGTGAATAATAGTGGGTCTTTCTTAAAAAGGCTAATGGTTATCACAGATGTAACAATGAACATAGAGGGACAAAATTTCTAACATTATCACAGATGGAATATGGTAAAAAAACGTAACAAGTACATGGGTATGTTCTGTACATTAATCTAAACTATGCAACTGGAACAACGGTGATAGTAAGCAAAAATAGCACCATCTGCTTTTGCGCTTTAGAATGTCGCTTACGAACCTACTGGTATCAACACCAAAGTGATGTACTGATGTACTGTACTGAAAAATTGCCAATTCAAGGACTGCCAGTGCTCTTCATAGTAGTCAAGTGGATCGGGGAGTTCACACGTTTTTGTTAAACACCTTCCGCATAAATGGTACGTACTATTGTTACCTATAACAAGCTCGTAGTATTAAAAGAATACATGGGCTTTATTTGAAAAGGATAGCCAAAAATCAGGGTGAACTCTACTGTGATGATGGGTCAGCAGAAGAAAGTTGTACTTGTCTAGTTGACTGAAATTCAAGTATCAATACCCAAATTTTCTGCGACTGAATGGGTTTAAAATGTCGCGTCTTATTGAATTTGGTAGTATCGATAGTGTTTCTAATTCATCGGCACTGTCAATGATATTTCTACAATCTATGGCTAGACAAGTAGACGTAAGCGCTAACTCATATACTGTCAATGTCGTTTTCATTACTGTCCTCCACGGCGGTGGGTTCTTTCCGCTATGGGGTGTCATGGGTTTTTTTCTAAGAATTTAATCTCTTGACATCTGCAGCGGACAGAGATGGTTTCACTACTGTTTTGGTTGTTATCCTAAATAGCGGGCTTTGTATCTGGTTGAATTCCACTTTCTCGGGCTCCGTACCATCAAACAATGTGTTTTTGTAGTCTGAACATGAGGTGATGTTTGCCGTCTTTCTGATGTTTAGCTTTCGCTTCATAGCAGTAAACTTCACTTCTTTTCACCCGGAGCAATATAGGTACAATTTGGTACGTAATCCGACAAACTCTTGGATTTGCTTTCCTTTCCATTACAAGCTTCATCTTTAAAACAACCGATCTAACTCTTGTTTGCGTCGTCTCCAAGGGTGAACATCCGCCTAAAAAATCTATTTTAAGTCTGAGGAATATATATCTACTTATGGATTTACAAAAAGTTGTGAGTCTGATCCGTTACTAACTCAAACAAAGAGGTTTATACTTATACCTTGAACCTGTACTACAGCTCAAACTTAAAGGTTTTAGCCTAATTTATAACAAACTTAAACAAAAAGGTTTTGTGCTTAGCTCAATTCCACCCAAACAACCAATTATTAGGTTGTTAAAAAAACGGGGATACTTACTTAGAAACTGTTTCAAACCTGAATCTTAAGTTTGCTAAACTAAACATAAGTAAATATCAATTTTAAAAAGTGATCACTTTCAGTTGGGTGCAAACTGATTTTTAGCACATCAAAATAAACCATAGAAAATTTTAAAAACCTATACATTATTACTTTACCTTAACAACCTGTTCAGGTTGAATGTCCCCCTCGTAAGGACATCCACAGACGCAGGATACATATCCACGCACTCGCAATCCCTTCTCTAAAGCTATCCTCGCAATCTCTCGGAAACGCTCCAAGCTCTCCGCAATACTGCAGTTAATGTTCCGCTTGCTGAATGTCTCAGATGCGGCACCAAATACTGCTATTTCTTCAGCTCCAGCTGATATCTACAACAAAAATTTTCAGTTAATAGAATTCTCAAAACATACGTACAATTTTGCTAAGGAAAATTAAATAGGTCAAGGTTGATAAAGATGTAAACACGTACACACAAAACTGGTATTTTTTTTAACAAAGTTAGTTTACAATTTAGGTTTACAAAATACCTTATCAACTGTACCACTACCGCGGTACTGCGGTACTGTGGTACTACTACCAATTGTTATCCTTAGCCCTCTAATTAATCACAGATAAGGGTTGGGTACAAGGTACAAGTTTTATTCCTGAGAAGATTTTTACATTTTGTATTCTGTACTTTTATTAACGATTAATGACTTTTGTATTGCAATTGGTCAAAATTTCTATCTAAAATAAAGTAGACCTATTTTTTACATTATAAAATTATTGATAGAGTGTTTGTTTTGCGTTGATAAATCAATAATACTTGCAAAGTATTTTAGTTTTTGTTTAATTAAATGAAATTTGTGTACACATTGCATTCTAGTGGTTATCATACTTTTTGTACAAAACCGGTTAATCCCAGGTCTGGTTACTATCTAACATAAAATGACAAAAGTACCAATTTACATATTGAATAAAAACCTTATAATGAATTTTCAAATCAGTCAAATGATTATTGATGAATGATGACAATAAAGATACCTGATTATGACTTTCAAACCCAGACTGAATTTGGAATTCCTCTGGGCCAAGGTCATTAGCCTTTTAGATAAGACAAGAGTTATATTACAGACTTGGACAAACAAGGGATATTTGCTGAAATAATAGTGGCTGTGATAAGAGGATGTGTTTGTAAAATAAGCTCTTTCTATGTATTTTTAGAATTTAACTATACTTTGCCGAGAAGTACTATAAAATATCCATGGTACATCTATGGGCTAATATTTTAACAACAGTTTTTCCATACCTATTATAAGTCAATATATAATACCAATTGACAGCAATGGGACCAAGAAAGTAGTTACCTTTTTATCTTGTTACTCTTTATAGTAAAAATCTTTAAACTGTTTTTCTACATCTATTTTGTAAAACATTTTTAGGAAATACAGCTTGAAAATGATGAGTGTCATAGTTATTATACTAGAGATTCCGGTAACTTAAATGCTTCCTCAGTTTGTAAAAAAAAATCTTTTAATAGTTTAAATAATGAAATGGTATTCTTAACTGTTACAAATATTTGAATATAGGTAAATATATTAATAATTATAAAATAACATAAGTACCCTTTTTTTATTTAATAAAATTACACAACATGTTTTGTCTATAAAATGACATCTTCAAAAAAATTTAAATATATATCTCCACAAATACGTTGATCCTGCAGGCGTGAATCATTGTTTTGGCGTGAAGGCAGTGTTTGGCATGAATCATTTCCAACTTTTTAGATAGTAAAGTTTGTTAGAATACACAAGGTACACATGGACCTATGCTATGGATTGATGCTACCTTTAATTATACACAAGCCCCACTTAAAATACTACAAATTCTACAATATAAACGTTATTCAGAGGTAAAACAAATTATTTATTAGCGATAAGAACCCTTAAAGTAATTTTGCAACATGACTCAGACAGTAGTGAGTTCATACTTGTAGTGAGACCGAACAAAACCAAAGTAAACTACGTGAGTCAACACAGAACATATTTTCTATCCTGTATTATTTTCTAGGTTACATTAAGTCCATATTGATATTTTAAACTCAATAAATAATGTTTTTATTTTTTTTATGAGTAAATATATTAAGATACACAATTTTTCTTATAATAGAGTTTCGTTATAAAATTTAAACAGTCAGTTGATTGGAGTGAACAAAATCAGAATTGAACGGGTCTTTTGAATAAGTGTGACCCGGATCACTCGTTCACCTGACTGACCCGTTCAAATTGAACGGGTCATGACCAAACGACACATCTCTAACTCCAACTCAAAAATTTTAACAAAAACAATACTGTCACGTCTCCTTATAATATGTATAAGAATAGTAAAAGGGGTATTTCAGAATTAACAATTTTTTAAGAGTAGTTTTGATACTGTAAATAGGTAAATACTACCTTTGGTTATGTTAATTGTCTCTGTACAGTCCATTTTCAGTGAGTATAGAAATTGAGTACATACAAATTGTCCTACAAAAATGTATTGAAACAGTTTGATTTATAAATTCCAAAAGGTTTAAGAATAGAACTCTGATGACGTGTGAGATTATTACTATCTTAAGCTAAATTGATAAAGAGACTTCCTAATTTAGTCCTAATGTGACCTTTGTCCTAAAAACAGAACCAAAACTTAATATCACTAAACAAAGACACTTTTCAAAGCTACTTAATTATTGGTAAAAAGGAAATGGATTTAATAAATTCAAATTGTGAATATTTTTATGTTTTGGTGCAATTGCTGTTCAGAAGACTTGAAAATTGTTTGTTTATTCTCTTTGTTTTACATAAATCTCTTTTCTCAGCAAGTTACATGAGTTTGTACTCGGATATTAAATATTCCCTATTGTTATATTGTTAACATATGTTGCATTCTAAAAGTAAATAAAACAGGTTGTTGTTTTCTTGTAATCTTTAAAAGTGTGTTTAATTTTCCCTCTCATATATTCTATATAGTATATTTCATTACTAGGACCGAAAGTGGCATTTTTCAGCGCGTGCTCAAGTTTTTGTGTGAGGCAAAGCCGAGTACTTGAGAGCTATTTTCACGTACGAGGCGAAGCCGAGGACGGGAATTTAACTGAGCAAGTGCCGGATAATAACTTTCGGTACGAGTTATGAACGATACTTTTCATCAAGACATAAAAATACACAAACACAGAGTAGCAGACCTCAGTAATATTACAACTACTTCATTTATCAAACAATTTGTTTAAAAATCAAAATAAAATAAAATCTAAAAGGAAACCTACATATATTTTTGTTTAGTTTTTAAAACATAAAATTAAAATTAAATATTCATAAGAAAACCTTTGTAATATTTCTCAATACTTCAAAAATCAAAATCAAATAATAAAACAACTTTTAACAATACGTACAGCTGATTCAAATCATTAAATTAAACCGTAACGAAACACTAGTGCGCGTAGTGAATTAATGGAGAACTAATTGATAGCGAGGGAAAGTAAATTTAGAGCGAGGGAAATTAATCAGGTGATCGATTTTCAGTGTTGGGAAGTAGCGCGCTACAAGTAGCGACGCTACAGTAGCGCGCTACTTTTTTTGTAGCGTTAGCTGTAGCTAAGCTACTTTTAAGATTTTGTAGCTTTAGCTGTAGCTAGCTACATTTTTAAAGTAGTTGTAGCGGAATTTTAGCTACTTTTCTCGCTACATTAACATTGTTTGAGGTAGTGATTTTTATCATAACCTCAACCTTACGTGAAACCTTTCAAACTGAGATTTTCAAAAAAATTAGGCTGGCTTCATACAGCTGGTTGCAGCCGTTTCATTCCCTATACAAACAACGTTGTGTGAACATGGAGGCCATTAAATGAGTGTTATCCACCTTTTTGCCTCTCATTTCCTTAATTTACTACTCTATGATTACTGTCAGATAAAATAAAATCGCTAGATGCAGACGACTTTTAAACGTTGCCGGTGACAAGAGAAGCTATTGAATGCTTGCAAGTGATTGTCAGGGAAATTATTAATCAATTTAGTTTCTTTATTATATCGATAGTATTTCAACTTGGGTTTTAATGGAAACCAACACTAACACTAAACCTTAAAATAATGAGAAAGCTGGTCTATCAACCTTTGCTTCAGCTGTTGATTGTGGTTCATCACCACAAGCCCTTCCTTGGTTAGATTACAAAGATTTTTCAAAGGTTTACTAAATTAACAAAGAGGAAGTTTCCTGATGTGATTTAAGATATGCCTAGACTAATTGATAATTGTAACGAAAAAATCTCCATATAACATGAAACTTACATTGAACAAATAGCATAGTTTGCTCCTGCTAACAGCTCTTGTATAGCTGTGATTAACTTGTTACATTCCTAGGCTATGCTATGGTTTAAGACAAATACCAAGTTCCAAGTTCAATTATTAGGAATATATCTGTTTAGTCCTTTCAAGAACAAGCCTACCATAGCCAACTTGTTACATAGCCAAGTAGGCCTACATGTTATTTTTACTTTAAAAATTTCAACAAGTTTAAATTAAAAGCCGATTTCAGGATAAGTTGCTGAATACTGTTTTCTGTACCAACTAGGTTGAAGCACAATTTTCCCTATGCATAATGACAATAAAGGACGATTTCTTGACATTGAAAAGTGTTATTCATAGAACAAAAGTAACTTATCACTATGGTTAAAAGTTATAGCAATGTCGTTTTTAATATTAAAAGTAAAGAAAGGCAATAAACTCCAATTTCAGCAGGCTAGGCTCTGTAACACAAACAAGTAGGCCTATTTTTAAATAATCGTTTTACAGTTTTATTGGTCTTAATTGTTTATATAAGACATCTATAAATGAATCTATATTAAAGAAATAAAATGAGCTTTTAAAATATAGTTTGGTTGTATGTCCTTTGAACTTAATGAAATTTACATATAAGATGCTTAAAAATAATGCAATATTTAAAAACAAGTACTAAATATGATGGGAAACCCAACTATTTGGTTTTGTTGTTGTAAAGTTAGGTATATAATGCCAACAAATTAAACACAATCTAGGAATAATTTGTTTTCCAAGTAATGTTAGATACAATCATTGACTATACCTGTAGGTATACAGGGTGATCAACTCAAGGAGGCCACCATTGGGATATCGGAAACGATAAGAATTAGAGAAAACTTTAAATGGGGGACATTCCTTTATTTTTTGTGACAGTTAAAAATATGATTTTAGTTTTTCAAAATTCAGCCGCCATTTTCCAAAATGGCGGCCAACTTTGAAATTTCTTATGGAACACCCTGTATTTTATCATGTTTTCGGATAGAACATGCAATTAAAAAACTTTTTTATTCTTGACATTTTTTCGATAAACCCACTCGTTTAGGAGTTACAGCCTATGGAAAAATGGCTTCCGGTGTACATTTTACATCATGTAGCTCCAAAAAAAGTAGGTTTATAGCGAAAATCCGAGGAGAAAATAAGTCAAATAAGTCTTAAAATTGCATCCGCATTCCAAAAAGTCCATAAAATTCGTTAAAAATATTAATTCTATTATATAAAAATGGCGGCCATTTTCCAAAATGGCGGCAAACTTGAAAAGTGGAAAACTGTGTATTTTATGGACTTTTTGGAATGTGGATGCAATTTTAAGACTTATTTGACTTATTTTCTCCTCGGATTTTCGCTATAAACCTACTTTTTTTGGAGCTACATGATGTAAAATGTACACCGGAAGCCATTTTTCCATAGGCTGTAACTCCTAAACGAGTGGGTTTATCGAAAAAATGTCAAGAATAAAAAAGTTTTTTAATTGCATGTTCTATCCGAAAACATGATAAAATACAGGGTGTTCCATAAGAAATTTCAAAGTTGGCCGCCATTTTGGAAAATGGCGGCTGAATTTTGAAAAACTAAAATCATATTTTTAACTGTCACAAAAAATAAAGGAATGTCCCCCATTTAAAGTTTTCTCTAATTCTTACCGTTTCCGATATCCCAATGGTGGCCTCCTTGAGTTGATCACCCTGTATACAAGGTGTCCCGTAACTCTCTGGACACTTGTATATAGCGTTATTCCTCAGGTCAAGACAAACACATTTCACCATAGGAACATGGGTCTGTGGTGTCTAGTTTACCGACTGTCGGTATTTATGTGTTTTTTACAAAAAAACTAATAACTCCTAAACGGTTTGAGATACAGCTTTGATATTTTGCAAAAATGTTAATCTTATTAAGACCTATTATCGCTAGAAATTATACTAAAAAATAACTAACTGTTTCAAAATGGCGGCCATTTAAAATATTTGATGCCAAATTTCACGAAAACCGTTAACTTTACAAAAAAATTGCAAGAGACAAAAAAGTTTGTAAATTTTATGTAGTTTTCAATGATACCTGATTTGTTAAGATTGGATAAATAATAACAGAGAAATGTCTTCTTTTCTAAACGCATGGCCACTTTTCTCCATTTAAACAATGCTAAACAACGTAAAAGGAGTATTAGCATTGTTTAAATGGGAAAAAGTGGTCATACATTACGAAAACAACTCGTTTCTCTGTTATAATTTATCCAATCTTAACAAATAAGGTATCATTGAAAACTACATAAAATTTACAAACTTTTTTGTCTCTTGCAATTTTTTTGTTAAGTTAACGGTTTTCGTGATATTTGGCATCAAATATTTTAAATGGCCGCCATTTTGAAACGGTTAATGATTTTTTAGTATAATTTCTAACGATAATAGGTCTTAATAAGATAAACATTTTTGCAAAATATCAAAGCTGTATCTCAAACCGTTTAGGAGTTATTAGTTTTTTTGTAAAAAACACATAAATACCGACAGTCGGTAAACTAGACCCCACAGACCCATGTTCCTATGGTGAAATGTGTTTGTCTTGACCTAGGGAACAACGCTATATACATATGTCCAGAGAGTTACGGGACACCCTGTATAGTCAATGCTACAATACTGACATTTTTTTTTAAATGTTTGTTCAATAAAAATGTAGTTGCAATTAATTTTACATTTACCTAATGTGCGTGGAATAAAAAGTAACGTCTTTGGAAAAGTAGCTAAAATTGTAGCTGTAGCTACATTTCATTGTAGCTGCAATTGTAGCTAGCTACTTTTTCGGAACTGTAGCTGTAGCTGTAGCTAAGCTACTTTTTTGGAAATGTAGCAGTAGTTGTAGCTAGCTACATTTTAAAAGTAGCTTCCCCAACACTGTCGATTTTCCCTCGCCCTAAATTAGAGCTTGGGAAACGACTAGGCTACTTTCATAGATGTCATCGAAATAATGTAAGTTTCAAAATAATTTTTAAATCCCTACCTGAAATAATTAGTGTTATTTGCTGATAATAAGTAATTTATTTGGCCAGATTTACATAAATGCATTAGCTAAGTCAGACATTACATTAATAATACAATCTGTATTAAAAATACAATGTCTTACTATAAAATAACTGTTATAGCTCAAGGGTTATTTAAAAAATGTGTATAGGCGGACAGTGGTTAATTTTTTTTAATGGTAGGTATATAAGAGTGATCCAAGGAGAATTATAGTTGAATTCTTTCACAGTCTATTACTAACCCAAGCTTGAATATAACTCATTTAATATACTCACCGCTGCTTCCAAGCCCTTGAGGTTAGGTACTAACACCGGATAACTGATACCCTTTCGTTTGGTGATGCCTTGTAAAACTAACTTGTGATCAGCCATCTGTGGAACCCATTTGGGAGAAACAAAGCTGCAAATAAATTTTCCGTTACTATCCTTCAACCCGAACAAAAATTGCAACAAGCTACAATTTCTTGGGTTGAAAACTTACTTATTCACAGATTTTTTTAGAATAGGCATTTTTAAACCTCAACTATTACGCAAAAATATGCTCTGGTAGTTCAGAAAATGTATATAATACATGCCTATGAGTTGGCCTAGTTTGAATATCACAGTCCTTCTATCTACTAATGATTAGCAAACAATTGGTTGGGCTTTGAAACATAAAAATAAATAACAAGTCATCAATCATAATTAATTAATGAGCATATACATATAAAGTTTTAAAATAATATTTTGGTTGAGTAGCTCATGAACGTTTAAATATAATATTTGGCGATATGCTAGCTCCTTCTACGTTCGCAGCAAAATTGCAACATTTGTGACAAATCGCCAACTTTGACGACAATCGCAGTGACATTAATTTGTACTTAAGTGTACAGTAGAAAAATTGTAATAATTTCTGATTTCTGGACTAAGTTGGAAAAAGGTAGATATATTCTACTTAAATAATGGTAGCTGAATTCAAACTAGCAGGACTTAACTTTACATCGTAACAATCTGAAAATCTCTTTTGATTACTGACGGTACTAAGTCTTAGAAGTAGGTATGTATATTTATACAAAAGAAAATACAATGTTGCCACAAGAAATACAATTGTGTCACATCTTATTTAAAAGGAGTTGTACCTATTCAAATACAAATATAAAAATGCCAATCATACCTGGTTGCTTCAATGACTCGTAGTCCAGTTTGAGATAATCTGTTGATAAACTCAATCTTAATATCTGTTGGCACTGTAACTGGTTCATTCTGTAGTCCATCCCTTGGTCCGACTTCGACAACACGGACATATTTGGGCAACTTACTTGTCTTACCATTCTGAAAATTTAAGATTGGGTAGAGAATTTTGAGGGAGTTTAGAGTACCTAGGCCTAATAAATGTTGTAATGAACCTCTAAGTTAGTTTGAGTTGTTAGTCTAACTTGGTTTCAGAGGTTACCTAGTAACTTTACTTTATCAGGAAGGCACGGGTTTGATCCTGAGAAGTCAGCAGCTTTTGGTTAGGCCTAGTTTGAAACTAGGCACTTTTGTACCAAATAACACATTTTATATTTATTATAAATTTAATAACTTAAACTCATCAATAGGTTATTTAGCCTACACCTTGTCTCAACTGTTGGTATCTACAGAGTTTCCAAATTCATAATGACGTTGGTTTTTAATATATGTTTCACTATTTAATTGGACTTTTCCAACAAGTCTTGTGTTTAAAACACAACCTTTCTGGAGGTTTATCCCTTTGGTACCTATACCTTCTTTTGGTGGTACCAGTTGGTACCTTTCACAACAAGTTTTGTTAGTTTTGTATCATCAGGAGACAAAGTACATATTACTAATTAACTTAATTCATTTAACCGAGAGGGAGTTTCCAGTTATGTTGAGAACACAATCCAATAGCTTGCGGTAACTTACATTGTGTACATGTAGGGCCTAGGCTACATTTGTAAAAGTCGTGTCTCCTTGTCTCTTGATGATAGCTTCTGTTTATGTAACTTACTGTAAGTTTAATGCTTATTATGACTAAGTTAGTTATTTAATCACCATTAGGCCTATAGTTAATTCATATAAACTTCATTTGGGCCTAAACCTTTAAAGACCTTTAGAGATGGTTAAAATCAAATAATATATTGTGTACTTGTCATTTTAACCTAATGAAACCTAATGTTTGTTATTTTCATTATTTTTCATGCAAATTAATAATTTTCACAGCATTAACAGCATATTGCTCTAGTGGACTAAGTTAGATTGTTAAAACACAGAGGATAACACACACGGTAACCGGATGCGGATTAGGCGTCCGGCAGTGACGTCACCGGGTTGTGGGGGCCCGGAACGCCATTAGCACAATGATACGATGTACAGCCATCGGTGTTTGTGGTGTAGTGGATAGAGTGATCGGCTGATATGCAAGAGGTCCCTGGTTCGAATCCTATCGGTAACATTAACTTTTTGTCAAAGATTTTGCTTTGAATGCCATTTCTTCTTAACTGTATAGGGCCTATCTTATATTAGAACTTTTTACATTTATAATTTTATTTTATGATAAGAATTTAACCTTCATTACATTTTTTTGTTATCAGCAAGTTTGGTTGGTTAGGTTAGGTTAAGACAGTAACTGCCGGACATCCTCTGCGTTGTTAAAAATTAATTAGTCAAAGTCTAAAGACTAAATAGCCTAACATTTTTACCTGTAAATATCGTTTGTTACATGGGCAATCAAAAAACACTACCGCTCTAATATTGGAGCTTAATAACCCCTTGTAGAATCGGACAATGTTTGAAGAAAGAACCATTATTCCTGCACAACAGAGCTACATTAGCTTGAAATCTGGGTTTGGTCTTGTACTTGTAATAATAATAATTACTTATCGCAAATCAACCCACCCAAACACAGACTTTCCAAGGATAACAAGTAAACAAAAACAAAACAACAAGTAATCAAATGACGTCCTACACGTCACAAACATTTCACCACATTCTTAATTTCCGAATCTAATCTAATCCAAATCTTTGTTCCAAACTCTGAATCCAATACGACAGCCGATGCGGGTTGCGGGTTGCGTGGCCTTGGTTGCGGGGCGCTGTATTTTTATTTCAGGATTAGTTTTGCCAACAAATTGTGTGTGCAGGGACGAGGAGCGGCTCAAGCCACTCGAGCCACTCGAGTAAATGGCGTTCATAGAGGCGAATACCTTGCTTCAGGGGTTTGATGATAATTTACCTTTTGAAAACTGGCTTGATATTCCCTTATTTTACTTTATGATTTTCCTGTTTGGGAACATGAAAACAAGCGTACCTCCTTAATTTTTAAAATGCAAAAAAGGCTATTCGTGTTATATTTTCACTTTTAAGAAGACGATCTTGTAAGGAATCATTCAGGTCAGCTGCAATTTTGACTGTACCCTCACTATACATCCTTCACACACTCTCATTTGTAGAAAAACGTCAGTCATTATTTAACACCAACATTAACTCCAGTACATACCTTTACTGGGCCCGGCTCGGTCTCTGCTCCGAAAAAGTCCCGGCCAAAAAAGCCCAGGACGGAGGCAATCCTGGTCAAGCCCTCAGGGGGGAGATCTTTCACCGAGGTCTTGGGTGCAATTAAGGCCAAGGCTAAGCCAGAGCAGACCGATACGGTTGTACGGTCGATTAGACGAACCCGGGACGGGGACGTTCTCCTTGAACTGGGTAAGTCGAAAGACAAAGCAGCCTTTACTGCCGAACTGAAGGCAGCTGTTGAAGGCCAGGGCACCGTCCGTGCTCTTGAACCAAAGACATCAGTCGAGGTTCGAGACATTGATTGTGTGTCGACGGAGGTTGATGTTGTTGAGGCCCTGAAGAAAGCTGTCCCCGAGCTTGGCGGGCAAACGGCTTTCCTTAAGGTGTGGCTCAACAAAACCGAACAGGAGTCAGCAGCGGATGGCGGTCGCCGAAATGGCATACGCACATGCCACGAAGGTGCTGGGACTCCAGCATCTGAGAGTCGGCTGGGTCAACTGCAGGCTCAGACGGAGAGTGGAAGTGAAGAGGTGTTTTAAATGCCTCTGTTTCGGCCATTCCTCCCGAAATTCCAAAGGGACCCGACCGAAGCAAGAACTGCCTTCGGTGCGGGGAGGTCGGTCACGTCCGTAAGGACTGCCAAGTCGAGTCCTGTTTCCTTTGCAAAGAAAATGGGCTCGCTGACAAACACTTGAAGCATATAGCTGGGTCTGGACAGCGTAGTGTATTCAAATCTGCACTACAGCAAGCGAAAGTCCTTTCACGAAGATAAGAATCCTTCAGTGCAATCTTGAGCGATCCAGGTCGGCTGACGCACTTCTATGTCAGCTTACCCTAGAACACGATGTCAACGCGCTCTTAGTCAGCGAACAGTACCAGTACCGTGATAGGGACCCATCTTTTTGGTTCCCTGATAGTCTTGGTACTGCTGCATTCTGGGCGCGTAATGCAGCGAAAGTACAAGTACGGGGTCACGCGAAGGGCCGAGGTTTCGTTTGGGTTCGGTGCCGGGATGTCACTTACTTTAGTGTCTACCTCACTCTCAACGAGGCCATCCGTGAATTTCGTGAGAAGATAGACCGCCTGGAAGAGAGCGTGCGCAATACCACAGGACACGTCGTCGTGGGTGGGGATTTTAATGCTAGGGCTGTCGAGTGGGGAATGACCCTCACCAATTCCCGGGGCAAGTACATTCTGGACTTTGCTGCCAGAGCCGGACTCGTTGTCGTCAACGAGGGAAACACGCCAACTTTCCGGCGCCCTGGGATGCGGGGAACGATCCCAGACATAACCCTTGCATCTGAGTCCCTTTTGCCAAGGATCAGAGCCTGGAGAGTCCTGGAGGATTACACGGGCAGTGACCACCAGTACATTATTTTTGATGTCCTGGATGGTCATCAGAGACAAGTAGCCGCGTTTCGTCAAGTGCCCGTTCGATGGAATATTAAAAAATTGGACGTGGCAAAATTCAATGAAGCCATCTTACGAGGAACACCGGTGGTTCCCCCCGCAACTAGCGTGGCTCATGCAGAGGTGTTAGTTACATCCATGATGGGACTAATTGTCTCCGCTTGCGATGAGTCTATGCCTCGCGGAAGATCCCGGTGCAATAAGCGACCTGTGTACTGGTGGACTGCCGAGATTGCGGAATTGCGTCGGTCAGCATTGAGAGCCAGAAGACTTGCTACCAGGGCCAGAGAACCTGTAGACAGACGTCGTAAGTCGGATGCTTACAGAGTGGCTAGGAGGTCTCTTCGTCGAGCCATCCACCGGAGTAAACGTAGTTGCTGGGAGACATTAAGGGACGATATCGATTCCAATCCGTGGGGCTTGGGTTACAAACTGGTAACCAAGAAACTTGGCACCCGCTCTCCACCTTCCGTCATGGATGGGGCCACTATGGAGAGGATAGTCGAGTCCCTTTTCCCGGCTCACACGTTGCGCCCACTGCGGGATTTCGGAAGGGTGGATGACGTACCACTTTTCAGTCTTGGAGAGGTGGAGGCGGCCGTCCTATCCCTGAAGAACAATAAGGCTCCTGGACCCGATGGGGTACCCGGCGAAGTTCTCAAAAAGGTTTTGACTATTAACCCCTTGATCCTTTTGCGCATGTACAATGCCTGCCTAGTCGAAGGAGTTTTCCCCTCGTGCTGGAAAACAGCTAGGCTTGTGCTTGTTGGGAAGGAAAAGGGAGACCCAGACCTGCCATCCTCTTACAGACCTCTGTGTATGTTGGCTACGGCTGGAAAAGTCCTCGAGAAGTTGATACGTTCCCGACTGAATTCAGTCGTGGTCGCTGCGGGGGACCTGTCCCCTCGGCAGTATGGATTCAGGATGGGGCGATCTACGGTTGACGCTGTTGAAGAGGTGAAGCAAGCCGTGATGAGAGCTGAGGATTTTAACCACTACTCTCGAAGGGTTGTGCTGCTCGTCACTCTCGATGTGCGAAACGCATTTAATTCGGCGAGGTGGTACGATATGCTGGATGCTCTGGAGAACACCTTCCACGTCCCGGCATACCTCATGCGTATCATAGAGGATTATCTCCAGTTCCGCCTCCTCTTGTATGACACTACAGAGGGTCCACGGACGATGAGTGTCACTTCCGGTGCTGCCCAAGGTTCCATACTCGGCCCGGACCTCTGGAATGTCGCGTATGACAGCCTCCTGAGGTCTGAAATGCCTGAGGAAACTGTTTTGGTTGGGTACGCGGACGACGTTGCAGTTTTGATAGCTGCACGTAGCGTTGAGCTGGATCAGCTAAAGCTGAACCGAGTTATGCGTACTATAAGCGCATGGATGACAGACCACGGTCTCTCGCTTGCTTCGAGCAAAACTGAGATCGTGATATTAACAAAAAAACGGATTGACACCATCGTGCCGTTGAGGGTAGGGGCCGTTGAAGTCCAGACCGTTCGTTCTGCCAAGTACCTTGGGATTATGGTGGACAGCAAGCTTAGCTGGCGGGATCAGATTTTCCGTACGGCGGACAAGGCCGCTAGGGTGGTCTCCTCTCTTAGCCGGTTGATGGCCAATGTCGGAGGGCCTCGGTCCAGCCGTAGAAGGCTGTTAATGTCTTCTCTCCAGTCCGTACGGTGTTGAGGTGTGGGCAGACGCTCTAAATAAGGAGGTATATAGGATGCGGCTTACCCGAGTTCAGCGTCAGGCAGCACTAAGAGTTGCATCCGCCTACCGAACAGTGTCCGAACCCGCCGTCCTGGTGGTTGCTGGAGTCATCCCCGTCAAACTTTTGGCGGCGGAGAGAAAAGCAATTTATCAGCGCCGTGGGGAGGACGAGGCACGAACAGAGGAACGCACCCGCACCTACCAGCTGTGGCAGGAGGGCTGGGAACAGGAGACACGGGGACTCTGGACCAGGCGACTGATACAGCAATTCCAACCTTGGGTGGATCGGTGGCACGGAGAGGTGGACTTCTACCTCACCCAATTTCTGACGGGACAACAGGGTATTCTCCGCACCAACAAGCTTGACCTTGACCGGGATGCGGTGTAGGTCATAAAGTATCCAAATACCATAAACGGTGAGCCCTGAGGGCTTAGGTAACATGTTGGCCTGACTTGAAGTAATGTGACAAACAATTCCAGGTCTGTGTCCAACAGAGTAGAGGGGGTTTTTTAGTAAGTAGTCTGCGATAGATTCAGGAGTCTCACACTACAGGCTGGCTACCTGTGTGCGTAAAAGCATTTTCCCTCCTCTCCCTTAAAAAAAAGTACATACCTCACAACTACATATACCCTACATCTACAGTACAAATTAATACAACTTAAAAATTCCCATCCACTCAACTTCATTTTCCCAACATCACCTTCTGTACAATGGAATTAAACTTTTTAACCAACTTCCTCAATGTCTAAAGCTGGAGACTAATCTATTCAGGTTTAGGAGAAAACTTAGAAAAACATTTTGGTTAAAAATGATTGCTACAGATCAGCGATTTTTCCGCTGGCATGTAGTCAGTGATTTATGTCCTGTTAGATTTACTAGAAGGTAAAATTGTTTTAGTTGGTAGAGTTTTTTTTTCATATTTTATCTTTTGTACATTTCATTGTAAACTTGACTATTCCAATAAAATGTAAGTTTGAAATAAAGAACTTATGACTTATATCAATAACCCTGTAAATTAAAAATCTATTTCTGTACATTTAAAATATAGTCAATATTTTCATAGCTCAGTAACTAAGCTTTTGTATTCTTAAATACACAAAAAATACCATTAGCTGCCTCCGAACAAAACAGCTCAGCTGAGTTACAACACTACTTGCCACGTTGCCACTTCGAGTACATGGCCGAGTGCCGTTTGCCTAAACACTTTGACGAGGGTCATTTTACAGCCTGAGGCCTGGTCGGGTCTATGCGAGGGGGTTGGCGGGGTACTTTTGTGAAAACATTTGTGTGTTGCTATAAACTCACCCCTACCCCAGCACTGCCAATAACCAATACCCGTATGTTTTAGTTCGGCTAGTAGCAACCCGTCCGTGCACACATAAGTTTTGGCCGAACTGTATCAGTGACCGGTTCCACGGTGCAGTGCGTATGGGGGTGGAAAGATCGACTAGGGGGGATGAGCGAAATTTGTTTTAGGGATAACATGAAACTGTTATTACCTGACCTAACCACACTTGCTGATTATGAAAAACAATGAATACAGGTTTACTGATCAAATCGATATTAATTTTCAATCAATATTAGGGTAGCCCAGTTAAAAAAACCGTACCTGGTCTCCGTTACATCCTGCCTACTAATACCCGTCCCCTGAATCACTCTAACACTCTGGGGTCCTGGGGAGTCAAAACGGCACTCGGGAGCCGGACCTATCCTACGGTTTAACGGTTTTGACGGTTTATAACCCCTCACGGCAAAGAATAGAATGGTACTTGCTCCGTTTCCCGCCACTTCGATGGCCGGAACCTGGAGATTAAGTGGCCATGAAAAAATGCCACTGTTATAGAAAATACATAAATAAAAATAGTAGAAATTGAAAACTGTAGACAGAGTAGCCACAATTTATTCTCTTCCAGTTCTGTCGTTCTGTACACACACTCATGATGACTTAAGGGAACGCAAATTGCCATAAGCTACGATTTTTTTGGGGTTTAAACACATTTTCCCCACATTCAAAAAACTTGTTAGAGGCCAAATCAAGTTTAATTTTTTTTTCAAACATGCATGAACCTTTATTATACAAAATAATGCTGTGGCAGTCCGAAAACATAAAATTATAATTATAATACACAAGAAATATATTAGTAGTTTGCGTAACATTGACAGAGGAAAACTCTATGTCGTTAAAGCAGATTCATTCCTTCTTCCTTGTCTTCGGACAAAAAATCTCTGGAAGGAAGGACGTTAAAAGTCATTCACGGTAATATCTCTTATTAATAATTATTTCTGTTATAAGACTTTTAATTCATATTATTTTATTGTAAGTATATATTTTTACGTGCGCAAGTATAATAACTAGTATAATAATGATTTAGGTTATGGAAAGAAGGGCATTGTGGTATTGATCGTGACCAATTAGGCCTAATTCTGTAGGCTATGCACCTGGGCCTACACTAATTTAAAAACCTATAATTTACTTAATTAAAACATATATTTTTGTAATATACTGATGCATTAGATTCTATTTAAGAATCCTCTCAATTCTTCTGCACTGATATCTTAAGTCAATTGCCATAAAAACTGCATTGGAAGGTTCTTTAGTTAAACAAACCATAGATAAAACATAGTCCCTTATCCTATGGTTAACACGTTCGCTACTGAGCGTCGCATATATGCGACGCCGCGGTCTTTGCCACAGACCGAGGTATACATTTCAATCTTACACATAGACCGGCTGTCACTTGGATAACATGTACACACAGACCACGGGCGAAAACCTGTAAAACAGTGATCATTTACATTGTAATGCGCTACAATAGTGTTTGTAAATAAATTGTTCTTGTTTTTTTTGTATTTTTTATAACCTTTTGTAATGTCGCATATTTGCGACGCCCGGTCTACAGCGAAAACAATAGTGAAAATTATCATAGTTTTCTTAAAATAGACTAAACGTCGCATATATGCGACGGCTCATTTTTTTGTGTTTTAAGGTGAAAGTAAGTAAAAAAATAAACAGATTATTCAAGAACAGTTTATAACTGAACAAATATAAAAGCTAGGTACACAGGATAATGCAGCATACATACATACAGTGATGCAGAAAAGTAAAGACCACTTTTTCCTACTATTATATGACGTCACCAATCATCATATCCACAGACCAAGCGACGCAGTTGTGCGTCAGACATCTCTGTAGACCACTGCAGGGAATTCAGTGCCTTCAAATAGACCACTACAAAGATATAAGCATTTTAATAACATTAGAACCCCGACGCAAATATGCGTCGGCAGTCTATTTTAATATGACTAGCCGTCGCATATATGCGACGGCAGTCTATGGGTAGAAACCGGCCGTCGCATATGTGCGTCGCTGGTCCATGTGAATGGAAAATTTCGTACTATTGCAGTAGCGAACGTGTTAAACCTATCTATGTTGTAACTTAGGCTTAGGCCTTCAGTCCTAACATTTTTAAATTTTTTTTATATAAAGGCAGTTGACTTTTTTACCTGATAGATGTAGGTGGGTAAGTAGCTCTAGGATTAATTTGATTCTTTCATTGATAAGTTACCTACTATTAGGAGACTGGACATTAGATTTGTTTACTTTGAGTCAGATGTAAAAAATGACAAACGTATTTGGCCTAGAGCCAAAATAGGTCGGTTAAAAATCAGTTTACTTGGGAAACCGTAGACTTTGAACACAGAATGTAGATTTTCTAGCTGAGCAGAACCTGGCCTTGATCAAGGATAAGGCAGAAAATCATTCAAGCTTGAGCTGATTTTCTCAATTAGTCCTACTCAATACAAGTATATATTATAGTAATACCCAATTAAAAAAGTATCAAAAAAGTAAAAGCTTTAGCCTAATGTCCGCTAGCCAAGGATCACACTCATGAGATTGAAAGATACGCTTTTGCTGCAATCGCAGATGTAGACGACAAAATTACCCCGCAGGTGACGACGATGTCTCTGCGGCCGCGGGAGATGTTTAATATTTTGCCGCGATTGTGGAAGACAATAATGGTGACACACGACGCAGGAGACATTCATTTAGTAAACTCTCTCTTATCCGGACACCTTTTAACCGGACATCGGATTAACCGGACTGCACTTGGCAGAATTGACATCTCTTTAACCGTACAATTTTTATCAGCACTTCGGTTTAACCAGACTAGATTGGCAGGAAGTGGGCGGTACTGAAACGACTGTTCTCGTGGGAAAGAATTAAGACCAGTGATCACATGTCTAATCAATCAATGGTCTCCTAGATTTGAGTCAAATACTGTATACAGTATGCATTTAAAAAGTCCGTTATAACGATTTTGGGGACATCGGTTTAACCGGAAAACCCATCATCCGGCGGACTGGCCTAGGCCCCGAGGAATCCGCATAAGAGGGAGTCTACTGTACTAACTTAGATGATGATGTTGTTATTTGGTGATGTGCTAGGTTTGGTTGCAATCACGGTAAGACTATGATACGGTAATGTTTCCATCACTACGGAAAGTATTCACGATTTTGCCGCGATCATGGAAGACGATGATGATGTCTGTGTGCCTTGGGAGATGCCGTGCCAAGCTTAGTACAAGTTTAGGCGGAAATACCTGTGATAATGTTAATTTTTTTAAAGATTATTGGGAGAGGGTGACCCTGGTGAACTAACTTGCGGGGGGTGGGGGGCACAGACTGTTATCGCCGCCACTGACTTTGGATCAAGTCTACAAGCTTTGACCGTAAGATTTTCAATGGATCAATGACATTTCACTAGTGATATGAAACCAGTGACACTTCCGTAAATTATTTAATAAATCCTGTCATCCACATTTTCTAATGAAGTCATATTTGTTTTCAGAAAGCAATCATGAGACAGACACTGACATTATTGGGTAAACACTTCGGTGAGTTAGCAACCGTGCGAGGTATCATCACCTACAAGCTCAGTCCGTTCGAGCAGAGGGCTTTTGCTGGAGCCATCTCGCAAGGTCTCCCCAACATCTTCCGTAGGATCAGGGCAAAGCTCTTTATTGTCGCACCCCGTAAGTTTGCATCTGGTCAAGTTTTGTTATGCAGGTAGTGAAATGTGTAATTAAATTTAAAAGTTCAACAAGGCCAATATGTAATAAATTATTTTAATCCACAAGCGCTTTCAGAAACTATGTTTCCATCGTCAGGCTGTGTTTAAACTGATAGGCCTACAAAAGTAAATATTTACAATTATAAATTAATTTAAAGTAAAGTTGAAACAGATGATGTAGAGGATATTGGAAAAATATATGAAAAAAATAATCTTTTGATATTTGGATATATTACAGTGTTTTTCTTGATGTAATTATTTTAAGTAATTCCGAGTTCAGAATTGGGCCGTCTTCATTATTTAACAAATAATTTTGATCTGTTTTTTCTATAAAATAAGATTCCCCTGCATTAAGATGTTGAGGTTTTATAATTTGTTTCAAAAGTTTAAGGTTTCCCAAATTGAAAATGTGTCCTGTATTAATACTGTGGCTAGCAAGAGCTCTGATTTTTCACGTCTTCTGTATTTTGTATGAGCTTGGTTCTTTGAATCTGGTTTGGATTTTTCTTTTTGTTTGGCCGATATATTTCATGTTACACAATCATTTTACAATTAATTTCATTATTCCAGACATGTCAAATTTTGATGGTTTTTCTTTAGGATTGCCTAATTTTGATTTCAGTACCGGTAGGTTAATAGGTCTGAAAGTTAAATTTTGTGATGTTTTATTCTTAAAAATGTTCTTAATATTAGGCTACTTGCAAATTTTGAGATGTATGTTATACCTACCAATCAAATTCTTTTTTTTCTTTTCTGAAATATGGGTACCTAGTTCTCTGATTTTTATGTTTTTTTTTTCTTAATTTGGATTGTCTTAACATGTTGTCGCAACTAAAATAGTAGCGCCCCTTTGCAATATATACAGGGTGACCACCAACCGGGAAATCCGGGAATTAAGCGTGATTTTTTGAACCGGGAATTATGTGTGCATTTTGTATTTCTACCTGGAATTTTCAATTTACCGCGATGGCGCATGACAACAGTGACGTTTCCGTGACCACGGGAGACGATAATATGTCTCCACAAGGCCGCGAGGGATGATCAGAACTTTGCCGCGATCGCTTGAGATGATGATAATGTCTAAACGACCGCGGGATATGATCATGATTTTACCGCGATCGCGCAATACGACAATCAGATCTACAGAGCCGCGATATAATCAGAACATTGCCGCAATCACAGAAGACGAAGATAATGTCCACACAACCGCGGAAAACAGTCAGAAATTTGCCACGATCACGGAAGACGATAATGATCTCCACATAACTGTGGGATGTTATTAACATTTTGTTGTAATCGCGGGAGACAATTACGATGTCTTCACGACCGCGGGAGACGATTACAGTGTCTACAGGATCGCGGTAGTTACAATAATGATTTCTACTCTACACGGCTGCGAGGGATGATCAGAATTTGACCGCAATCACGCAAGACGATGATAATGTCCACTCGACTTCGGGAAAGATCAGAATTTTGCCTCATTTGCGAAAGACGATGATGCTCTCCAAACAACCGCGGGAGATGATTACCATTTGCCGCAATGGCGGGAGAGGATGACAATGCCTCACGACCACGGGAGGCGATGATGTCTTCATGGCTGTGAGGGATTATCAGAATTTTATCGTGATTAGGCAAGAAGATGATAATGTCCACACGACCCCGGAAAAATATTAAAATTTTGCCTCATTCGCGGTAGACGGTGATAATCTCATCACGACCGCGGGATGTGTTCATATATTGCCGCGGTCAAGGAAGACGATAACACAGAAAACATACGATAATTATGTCCACACATCCGCTGGAAATAGTCAGAACTTTGCCGCGATCGCGGGAGACGGACGATGATGACGTATATATACAACCGCAGGAAATAATTAACATCTTGCCACATTTGTGGGAGACTTCTACACGGCCACAAGGGATTATCAGTTTACCGCGATCGCATGCAAAAACGGCCACAATTTTTTTTATTTTTCCAATATTTTTGGCGCCCCCCATAAAAAGCCATTTGCCTCGCGCCCTAGGCACGTGCCTACCTTGCCTATTCAGTAAATCGGCCCTGTACCTTCTTCAAAAAGTTTTTTTTTGTTTCAGCTTTCATGCTCGGCTACTTGGTCTACACAGAAAATGAGAAAATCCACAAGAAGTTGATGAGGAAAAACCCCGACGACTTCAAGGATGACAAATAGACAACCAAGGAAACCCAATGTAGATTACTATAATGTGAATATTGTCTCAAATTTGTGCTTGAGTTAAAATAAATTATTGTTTACTGTTACAGTTGTTTTTAATTAAATTTAGAAAAAAAACAATTAATTATGAAATTAATGCTGTGAAGCATCTGTCCAATATATCAATTATCAATTATTGAGATGGGGACGCCACCTAGGTGCGTATTTTAACTCAAATATGAGTGAAGGATGAGTGTAGAATGGTGTGAGATGATCTGTGTAGCTTTGTTACCGACTAAGATCAGCTGTTTCATTAGTCAGGATCATTTATTTAAAGCCCAATGATCAGGAACAGCTGGGTCCAGTTTCGAACCTTCAAAAAGCTACTGACTTTTCTCAGGATCGAACCGGCGACCTTTTGATTACTAGGCAAGCACTATAACCACTCAGCTACCCAGGCATGCTATAATTATAGAAATTACTCAGAAAGAGAGCAAATTACTACCCATATATAAAATGCAACACATGAAAATAATGATGATAGCAAATACTTTAATACTTTTTCAATGAAATGGCGACCATACAAAGTAGGTATTTTAAGCCAAGTATGAATGGAGATGAGTGTAGGATGAGTGGCGCGATCTTTAAGTCTTGTTAGTAACTAAGGCTGACTTATTCCTTTGACTCAGCTTGCTGTTAATTAATAGCCTATACAGCTAATGGCAACGAAGGGACTTACAGTTTATAGTGGAATCTGAACCACATGTTTGCTATTATCTCTATCTAAATTAGATACTAAACCAAAAAATAATTTTATCTTTAACCATATTTGGAAATAAATTACAGATTGTCCTGTCTACAGCAGAAATTTGTTTTCGGAATATATTTCAAAAGTGGATAAATCAGTACTCTTGTGGTGTACTTAACTGTTAAATGTAACTAGCTGTAACCCGCGGGCTTTGCCCCGTTTAACTTCTTAATTTTCAAGATTATCTCGTTCGCATGGCTCAATCACGTCCTGGTTGAAGTTTGTTCGCTACGCTCACTCACCTTTAGGTTGGAGCTCGTTCGCTACGCTCACTCACCTTTAGGTTGGAGCTCGTTCGCTGCGCTCACTTGCCTTCAGGTTAGCTCGTTCGCTACGCTAACTCGCCTCCAGGTTGAAGTTCGTTCGCTACGCTCACTCACCTTTTGGTTGCAAATAAAAGAAATAATAGTGCTGCACCCTGTTGGTAATCCTTGTAACTTTAATGCTATTGAACATCATAGAACAGAACCAACTTGTTTAATTGAAACAGCTGTTAAGATTCAATAATTCCATTTCTCATAAGGTTAACATGGGAAACTCCAGAGCCACTGGGGCGGAGCCCGAAAGGATTTTTGAAATAAGAATATGCCTATATGTTAATCGGGAATGTGAGCTATAATCATGCCAAATTTCAGCCCAATCCGACCAGTATTTTTCGAGTTTACTTTTCCCATACACACATACAGCAACCACCTCTTTTTTATAATATTAAATGTAATAACAATTAGTCTTCCCTCCCTTATCATCTATTGACCACAGACTGAGGGACAGAACGTAGTTCAGATTCAGATTGTGCTTATGTTTGTCACAAACCTGAATGTGACAAGGTCTTACGAGTAATTAAGGAGTCACAGAAGCCAAGTTACAATAAGGTTGGCTATGATTGGGAATGATAGTATAAATATACTATAGTTTATCTAAACTAGATTTGGTAATAAACATGTTATTTTTTCCTGTATTGTAGTGATTGGTGGAAGCTTTTAGTGTTGTATTTCAAAATTATTGATCAGCAATAAACTGACAAAAAAGTGTAGTGTTCTACTCATCTCACTCTTCAAAGTTAGTAGTTATTCTATGGTAGTATTTATTTGCCATACCGCTTTGACATCAGCAACTGAGACCCAAGAGCACATAGCCCAGTCAATGAATGCAATAAAACACCCTTTTTCGCAACTAAGTGGTGGAAAGCTTGATTTTTGCCCGAATTATCGTGCCAATGGACACATATATAAATTTGAACAGATGGTGTTTTTGAACTCTCAAGAACGAAAAAGTAAATTGATCCTGGGTCCAGGTCATACTATGAGACCTATAGTAATAGCTTATTCCCTATATGGAAAATTCGTTAAAAGTTTGGCGAAGCTCAGAAAACCTAACTAGACTCAGAAAAGAACGTCTAAATTTTGTGAACGGTTGTTGAACTCAATATGTTTGTCACTCGACTGTCTGTGTGCTTCATTTTGGTGGGTACGTGAATAGGTCTACTGTGTAGTGATGCTACCTATCGAGCTCTTTTATAACCACGTCAACAAACACTCACGCTCAGAAGATTGTCTGATACTGTACCTTCATTACTTGAATTTTAATATGGAACTATGTTTTCTAATTTAATTTTCACTGGGAAAAGTGTCCAGAGTACTATTAAAGAATGCCTTTTTCTTTTACAAGTTGAATGTAGAATGCCAATTTATTCTCTATTATACATTCCCCTTAATTTAGGCAGTTCATTGTTGTGGTCTAAGACATGTCTATGAAATTGACACAATGTGTAACTATGTACCTATCTGTTAGTTATTGACGTTCAACATGCATTGCGTCATTGCGATATTGTGTTCAATGGTAAGAACCAAGCTATATCGTTCTCCAAAACATTACAGTTTGTTCTCTACTTTTTGTAGTAAACTAACTGCAATACCGTAATTCGCTCTCTTTTGTGGGATGGATTCTAAACAATTTCGCAATGTTTTCGCTTCAAGGGAGCCGGGTACATATTTGACCTAGACCAGGAAATCTCGTTTTTTCACTACTGTAACCGAATAGCCCCATTCTATGCTATTCTGTTTAATATACCAATTATGTGATCTAATGCTACATAATTGTTCACACAAATAATAATTGAGCGAAGCGAAGCTCTTATACAGTATTACACTCCTGCTTTTACTCCTGAACTGCTGAAGCGATCTGCACGAAATTTAGCACAATCATAGTAACAAACCATGGGAAGGTATACATAAATCTGAAATGATACAAATCGGACAATAGGGGTTTTCGCTATGTGAATTAAAACTTTTAGAAATTTAACATGGGCCTTATGGGTTAATTGGTCACCATGACACTATTTGTGAGATAACAATAAAAGGGTAAACAAAAAACTTAATTGGAACTACCACGTTAATCAAAAACTGTCCCAAGGTTATGCACGCCTTGCAAAGCTTTTCCCTTTAATCAATAGGAAATCTACTCTGAAGCCAGCTTGTACAGTTCTAATCTACAAATCAATAATTCGGCCCTTGATTACATATGCATCTCCTATCTGGGGATTAGCTATATCAAAAAACAAACTCTTCAAAATTCAAGTGATTCAAAACAAAATTCTAAGAATAGCGCTGAATGCTCCCTGGTTTGTTAGAAACAGGCATATACATGAAGAACTAGGAGTGGAGTCTATCTCGGCCTTTATTGAAAAAACCACCTCAAAATTTCTAAAATCTTTAAACGATGTTCCTGGTGCATTAACTTTTCATCTTGGTGAAGCAACTGAGAACAGGAGGCTACGTCGAAGGCTCCCTCAAGATCTATTGGATGAATGAAGCCTAAAGACGATTAAATTATTCTCTAAATTAATTATGTTACAGGGTGTACCAGGTTTGGGCGAACCCACGATGTTATTATAGTTAATTTCTTTTTAATTTTGTTAACACTTCTGTGTATAATGTCTACATTGAACCAGAACTAAATGCTGTAAAAAAAAAACAATAAAAGGGTAAACAAGAGCTGCAACATATGGTAACCAACGAATCATCTAAAATAGCACATTACAAAAATACCGCAAAGTGAAAAAGGAAGAACATTCGGATTAATTAATACCATTGAACATAATTTGCTACCAAATGAATACCTAACCAATAATTTAGTGTCGCCAGATTTAGACTAGCTGTGTAGATGCACAATTGACTTTAAATTTCTCCAAATAGCCATTTCATTTATGTGAACCAAATATAGGCCGACCATTGAGTTTGGATACAGCAATTATACTTTTCATGACATTTGGATACTGCAGGCACTCTATGTGAATCAAATAAACCATTGACTTAGGATAGGTACTGCAAGTAGACAATTAAGCCTATTGCATCATCATGCTAGCTCCGCTCAATATATTGCATGCAGACAACTGCATTGTATACATAGTATTAGGTAATTTGTTCACAGCAAAATAAGGAGGTAAGATACAAATAATACTGTCACTGGCGTAGGTCTACCCGTTACTCGAAGTCGAGCGATTGTCAAGTATTAAAGGAGTGAATACAAAATAAATAATTCTCACAATAACTTAATTTTAATTATTTAGCTAGAATTAGCGAATTAAATATTAAGTCGGAAACTTCTGGAAATACTCTCTCTGATGATAATATATTTTTATTAGGTACGATTTATTGTAAATATTTTATTATATTATAGGAGCTGACCTTGTTTATTAGTGTTTTATAAAAGTAGTTTTAGCCCTTCCAAGAATACTTATACTTTCAGCCACATACATGCAGTTGTGAAAATTCAGGGGAGGTAATATTAGCTATTAGCTGGTAATATTCAACCCTTGCTATGGACTGGCCCTGGGCTCTGAAAACTGTAAAATCTAAAGGTAAAACTACAGAAAATTGAGTTATCTAACATTTAAATTCCGATTAGTTATTAAAAAATATACAATGGGAACTCTTTCTAACGGATTCAAATTTACTTTGGGTATCAGAGTCTGTTAAACAATCTTATGTACACTCGTAGTAGACGTAATGATTGAATTCCTAATTAAACAGTTACACAATCATGCTTAGATTGTGTTCCTAGTTGCTTGTTTGCATTAGAAACATTGAAAACAAGTTGGAAGCATCGATATATCGATAGTTGGAAGTAGTTTTGAGAGATTATCTCTCTGTCATGAAAACTATTCTCGTTTAGTAAATTAGTTTACTGTTTACTTAATGGTGCAATATGACGAAAAATTTATATTATTACAAGGGTAAAAGTGTCTTTTAAACTCTCGCTCATTTTCCGACCTCGGCTTCGCCTCGATAGTAAAACTTG